TCCAGGACAAAAGGTAGCTACTTCAAGGATTTTTGTACAAAATACAAACAGCACGTGGCTCTTCTATGAGTTTTTAATGGTGCCTATCTTTAAGTATGCTTACTTTTTCTTCTTTTAGCAGAGGAAGCCTTGTTTCTCTTTCTGGGGTTTCCCTATAGTCAACAAAGATATCAAAACCACATGAACAAATCTATTTAAGTTCTATTAATGATACAGTGGTTTTTTCTTCCAATATAACAGATTTCCTCTTGGATTTCTGATGCTTTTTCTGTAAGAAATCCTTCTGCATTTTTGATTGACAGCTTTTCTGGCCAAAAGCTCTAGTAGAAGGATAGGCTGAAATTAACACAGCTGTATATTTAATTGAATAGGATAAGGTTTGGGTCTGCACCATAAGCCTGGGCATTCCACCTTCCCGATTTCCACACCAATTGCCTTCTAAAGATATTTATTCAAGAATATAGCAGCAAGGCATGCCTGAGATGCTACAAACCCTGGAGTCTCTGTCCTATAATATCTTCTTGACAGTCCTACTTCATAGCACTGATCTGAGAAAACAGCATTATTTGAGGCTGGGGACCACACAGGTGTGCAGATCTTTGCAAGAGCTTTGAGTCTAAGAAATTAACAGCAGCTATGATCCTGCAATCTTGCATGGGTTCTTCCATCCAGGATAAACAGCCTTGCAATCCTAACTGCAAATGTGGTGAAAGTTTATTGGAGTCTCCAGATGTTCACAGTGAAGATGTGCCATGGCCAGGAACTGTGAGCATTGCAAATACTGAAACCACTGACTTCAGACCATTCTGCAAGGCAGGTGTGATCACAGTGACCACTGGTAGTCTCTGTAAAGAGAGGTCCCCAGAAGCCTGGACTTTATGAAGAGTATTTGAATCTAAGCTGTTTCCATAGGAAAAAAAAGCCACATAATTTAAGAGTAATCGGTTTTGCTAAAAAATTTCCAACCACCTTTAATTCTTACTTCTGCTTCTTCTGGGTAAAGAGAAAATTCATACTCTCAGCTTTTACCCAGAATATTTCATATTGCTTCTTCCACATCACTTACTTTTTTGGCCCCAAAAGCTTAAAAGAATGAGTGAATTTTAACATCCTGCTTAGCTAGGTGAGATCTCTAAGCTTTTACAACACTTTACATCCCACAAGCAGATCACTGAGAAATCAGAAAACAGGAAATTTTGAATTTGGTATTGTGTCTTCACATTGACACTCACGGTGCCTAGAAATGACAACCATGATGGTCAATGATAGGACAGAACTGCCAGGTCAGGTACAAATCACACAAAATTGGAGGTGCATTGCTTGTGTTCTGTGTTTGAAGGAGAGCAAGCCCAAGTGTGAGAGATGTGACAGCTCATGCGTTGAGTGCAAGGGACCTGGTCCTCTCAACTGCACAGTCTGTCCAGCCAGCATGCAGCTCTTCCTGGAGGAAAGCCGCTGCCTGCCCTGCTGCAGCAACACTGACCCAGCAGAAACCCCAGAGTGCTGTGACTGCAGTGAAACACAAGGTAGGACCACGCTGAAAAGCAGGAACAGTGCTAAGTGTTTTATGGTTGATTTTGCTGACATTATGCTGCTTGAAAACTGGACTAGAGCAAAAATGTGCTATTGATAAACAGTGTGTTCCTAGTGCTTCATCAAAAATAGGGAAGATTTTACTCAAATAACAACCATTATGTCTGGTGCTGGAGATGGCAACTTCTCACACTCTCAACTACTATGTTAACATGGCCTGGCATTTCATAAACTTACTGGTTTACGAATTAGCTTACTTCAGTGAAGAGACATCTGAATCTCATTGCATTTATGTGCCTGCTAGCTTTTCAGCCTCTTTCTCATTATTTTAAATAAAATACTAAAGAACAGATAGCCCAACAACCTTATTGACATACTTGCTGCATAAGAACAACAAAACTATCATTGGGATACCAGAAAAGCTAGGTTTTTGTTGACTGCTATTACTGCACCAGACACACTGTACCAGACTTTTAAGACACACACACACAAATGCAAGCTCATTTCACCCTTTTTTTTTTTGTTTTTTTGTTTTTATTTGCTGTTGTAGATGACTGCGTATTACAGACAACTCTACCACCTGGACAAAAAAGCAAAACTATTTTATTTGTTATCACTTGCATTTTGCTTCTGCTTATCATTGGAGCCATTGTATTCATCTGGAGAAAGGCACGAACCAAAACCCAGCCTGTCAATAAAGGACGATATGAGAAGCTGGCAAATCACTCCAAAACCTTTTCTTCCTCTGCGAGCAACTATCACAAGAATCCCAGTTACCATGAGGATCAAGTGATTGAATACAGAGACAGAGATTATGAAGATGATGATGATGAAGATGACATTGTATACATGGGCAAGGATGGCACAATTTATCACAAATTTAAATATGGACTTTTGGAGGATGATGAGGAAGATGAGCTAGAATATGATGATGAAAGTTACTCATTTAGATAACTTTTTACTAGTTTACTCACAGTAAATTAGTCCTATTCTACTGTTTTTCCTATGAAATTATAGCTATTTAGTTAATATGTTTTGTTACTTGATAGCATCCTGACCTCCAATTTTTTTTGCTATTAATTATTGTGAAAGAAGAATAATTTCTAGGAGTATTTCCAGAAATTCCTTTTTTCTAAATAAATTTTTTCTAGGCTTTTAAGTAGCACTCCAGATATATAATCTGGTTAAGAGACCAAGTTTTTATGCATTTGTGTGGAGAATAATCCTTTCCCAATATGTATTTGTGTAACTAACACAAACTTTTCTTCAGACCTTTTTGAAGAACCCTGCCAATCACTACTAGAAATGTGATAAGCATGATGGGTGCATCTACTTGATGAATGCCACTGGGAGAGGATGCCAGTAGTTCACTTATTTGTTATTAGAGTTACTCAGCAATTCATAATAGAAGAGGCAACTTGGAGGAATTTACTTAGATTTTCTTCATAATCACCTGGTGTTGCCTGAACATAATCTTCATAATCTTTACAGCATAATTTCCTGTGAATTCACGTATCTATGACATTATATTTTAAGACTTAGGATTCTAACTACTTCTCATAACTATATCTTATTCACAGTTTGTATGAAATAGAAGAAAAATATTTTATATATCAGCCTCTGATCAATCTTTACTGCAGAGTTTGTCAAAAAATCTTGCATTTTACAGATGAATTCCTTGGTTTACAACAAAGGGCAATATTGTCTATAAGCATGGCACATACACACCAATTCTGCACCATGAGCAGGTGTTGTTTATACTGTAAATGGCTCAGGATGCTCAGATAATGGCAAAGGGGATATTTGCACTTTTCTGGTAATTTTTATTATTATTATTACATAAATTAAAATTTATAATTCTGAAGAAAAGAATGGCTGTTTGTTGTGAATAAATTCTTTAGCCATCTTATATACGCTGTTACTCATTACATTTCATTAAATCTCAGAGTTTCTCTAGGTTTCCAGTAAGGAGTTGCTCTAAAAACAATAAGAGTATATATATATAGATTTACTGTTTATAAGGAATTGTGTAAAAATACCAGCTTTCCATGGCTCAAAGTATCAGTGGAATTTGCAGTATTATATAAGCCTAAAGATCTAAGGATAGTTTGATCTGTAAGATTAAAGATGTTTTATGGAGAGGTTTATTGCTTCCAATTTTAATTTTATCCTTCTAATCATTGCAGCTTCAGTAAGAGAGAGGAATTAAAGGTAATGTGACTTCACAAAAGCTGAAACAAGTACCTATGTTTAGCAAAAGCTATAATACAGCATTTGACAGCAAGGTACTTCAGAAAGATACATGTTATCTTTCACTTTAAAATCTAATAAAACAGAAGAGGAAAAAAGAGTGAAAAACCAGTTTGAAAGATGACACTGCTATCCTGGTTTTCTAAACTTGTTTAAATTAACAATATGCTTTATTCTTGTTGCTAATGGCTTATAGCACAACCGTGAGGATAAGCTTTGACACACTTCCTCACATTTCAAAGGCTTATTCTTAGCAATGCCTGAGCAATCTGAAACCACAATGATAATGTGCATTTTCTTTATGGGCTCACAGGTTATGAAATTATATTATTATGAAAGGGCCAGATGACCCTGGAGGGGCAAAAAATGATTGAAACCATGGTGCCATAGTCAGGACTTAGGTTACTCAGCCCCTTTCCCATGCCCTGGCTTCCTGGGGGCAATGGGGACCATCTGACAAAGCAGGGAAAAAGAATCTTTGGTCAGAGACTTGCCAGACTCATCAAGAGGGCTTTAATTTAGATTTGTTGAGGAAGGGTGTCTGTCCACTCCAATCCAGCCATTCAAATATCAACACCTTTAATCAATCCCCATCATCAACATCTCCTATAGCATCAACATCTCCTATAAAAGAAAATCACTTTCAATATTTTTGCAAGTGTTAAGTTTGAAAATAGTACTCAAGAAGACACAGATTTAGGAACCTGTATTCCTTTACAGTGTCTACAACTAGAAATCCCTGCTAAGAGTTTAAAAGAAGACCAAGAAAATAAAAGCACAAGGAAAAAATTCTAGTCTTGCTTCTAAAGAAACTTCATGGAAAACTGGTAGAACCAAGTAAGATAGTAAAAAAAATACAGAGAACACAATAGTACACAAAGGAAATTCTGTTTTTCTGAATTATTTTATACCTTCTATTAATCTAAGTTACTTACACTTTTTCCTGAAATAAAGGCATCCAATTATTTTTTAATCTTTTCTAGTCCTTTTTACCTATCATCACCATTTTCCAGCTCTGACTCCCATTGTCACAAACATTCATAAAGTTCTGGTCTCCTGGAAAACACAAATCTTTCTAATTATTCCTCAAGACTAACAGATACTAGAACTCTTCTAAATACCACACTAGCAAGTGCAGCCTTCTAATAATTTCTCTTTCATCTTTCTACTTTGTGTTTTTGGAGGATACCTATTCCATATTACAATCAGACTGCAAATACGTGACCCAGCAGAAGAATGATTTTACCTGGTCTCCTGAACAACAAGCTCTGCTCTGTGAGCTGGCCCATTCCTGGAGTTTCCTGAATTTTCAAGAAGCCTGTCCCCATGCACTGGGCTTCTCTTGACAGTCTGTGGCACAAGATGTGGTTGCAAGATTTTTTACCTATTTGTTCCTCCATTTCAGAGAGTATCACAAATGGCACTTTTGTAAACCTAACATCAGTGAGTCTTAAAAGCTCATCTTTTCAAGGAAAGCACTGTTCACAGAACTGACAAAATACAATTTTCCCTACATTTTAAACATTCATTCATTAAAAAGCACACACACAAAACACATCCAGTTCACCATAATTTTATTTTACTCCATTTTGGACAATGTACTGCATTCTGTCCAGACCTCTGTAAAGTGAGAAAATTTCGCTGTTCTTTTTTCTCTGGAACAAATTTTCATATGGATATAAATACTTCTTCTAATTATGCAGCCCATTTATTTTGTTTAAGTAATTTCAACCGTACCTGAACTTATTTTAATAAGAATTATAATGGCATGTGCTACAGAGTTTCCAGATTTTTTAACTCTGTGTGGGAAGTTGCTCACAAAATGAGTGTGGAGACATCAGAAAATATGTCACATTTTTATGTTTATCTTTACTGGCTTACTGCTACTACTGAGCATTTAATAACAGTTTCCAGGAAACATTATGTATGAAGTATAATGTCATTCTGAACTGGTATATAGCAGCAATGATGGTGACCAAGAATTAGCAAACTTAAGCACCTCTGTAAATACATATTCCCATAAGTGGAAGAGTTGCTACCTAAATCTTACCTTCTTCCAAAACTACTTTCTTTTTGTCAGGTCACTGGAAAAATGGGAAACAGTATTTTTCTGTTAACTCTTCCTGCAAGCTTCAATTGTGTCTCCACTGTGTACATTTTAGGTTTCAATTCTCTGCTCGCTGATGTGCATTAAAGCATTTACTTGCAGAATCTAACTGCATTAAAACAGTTTTTTATTTTATGTTATACAAATCACACTGTCATTTTTCAGAGAACTGTTCTGTTCATAGGCTTGGCAAGAAGGGTTTTTCTTTTTAATTTATGATGATGAGCAGAGAGGAGCAAGAAATCAGCAGGCAGACCTTGCAAAGGTAGGGAGTCAGTCACATATATAGTTAAGTACTTGCATGAACCTCATCTATGTTCAGACCTGTACTGGTTACCAACTTTTTGATGAAGTCTATTCAATCTAGACTTACAATACACACAGGAAATTCCACTATAACTGCTACTTTACTTCACTAAGTTTTATAATCCTTGCTTTTCCTTATAAATAGAAGTTCTTATTGAGTTTGAATGCTTAATACTCAGGACTTTTGCAATTAGCTAAATATTACGTACACACAATTAGTATTTGCACACCATCCTTTCTATATACACTTACTTGCACCTACAGAATAATAACATCTAAAACTCTAGTTTTAGAGTGCTGGCTAGTTATATAAAGTGCTCCTTGCTGTCACAGACATATTTTATGAAAAACCCTTTTGCCAAGATTTTTTCTCCTGAGAAGCTGAGAAGCCTCAGAGGAAAAGAAACTAATAATTATCTGCTGCTGTGGAATGCAACAGGTGCATCATCTTTGATTGGTCTGATGTGGCTGCTTTTAATTAATGGCCAATCACAGTCCAGATGTCTTGGACTCTCTGGTCAGTCACAAGATTTTATTATCATTCCATTCCTTTCCTTCCTTTCAAGCCTTCTGATTAAATCCTTTCTTCTATTCTTTTAGTATAGTTTTAATATATAATTTTCTTTTAATGTAATATATATCCTAAAATAATAAATCAGCCTTCTGAAACATGAAGTCAAGATTCTCATCTCTTCCCTCATCCTGGGACCTCTGTGAACACCATCATACTTGGCTTTCCAACACAAAGCAGTAATGGTTTAGTTATCTTTACTTTCAAGAGGTTATATAAGAAAATAATTATATAATTTGAAATACAGCATAATATTACAAATGCATTATGTTTTTATCCTCATTCATATGAAATCCCCAGGTTGTCTGTATCTACTTACCAAGCCATTTGTCAATTGCATTCTCATACTTTTTTTGGTCCTTTAACCAGTCTTGATGCCACCTAAGGTTTGCAATAACACTTGAGTAATTTTGACCCAAACTTTGTTTCCAACTGATAAACTGTTGCTTGTTGTACTCATGAACAGAAGAAGAAACCTTTGGATAGTTTACTACAGAGCGAAGTATTTTGTCCAAAGAATGTACAGTTACTGGGAATTTTATGGCAAGATTTGTAAGCTCATCTGGATCAGCAGTAAGGTCTGCAACAAACAAAAGTCAGTTAAGATTCAATTTGCACTAAAGTTAATTAACGAGTCAGTCAAGATATAAAAGCAGCATACCAAAGAGTTGGGGCAGTACTGAAGAGCCATCCGAGTACGTGATGTATTTCCACTTGCCAGTTCTCAGCATATACACAGAGGAATTCACATTGCACCCATGGAACTCACTCAGCACCCACGAGGGTCGAGGTCCTCTGGGTGACACCTCACTCTCAGCCTTTTCACGTAGCAGCGGTATAAGAGAATATCCACTGAGGTTCTGTGGCACAGGAATTCTTGCTATATCTAAGGAAAGGTAGACAAAACCAAAATGTTACTGCAGTTTTCAGTTTTAAAAAACTCTAACACAATGCAACCAGTGTCTGAATGTTGATAATAAAATGTGCTCTCCTAATTATTATCCCAAAATACACAATAAAAAATATCTTAAGGAATTTCCCAAGGCAAGCTGCCCAGCATCTTGATCAAATTTATCATCTGTGTATAACTTAAACCTTTAACAGAGGTTTGTGAAAATTATCACAATAGTCTCCTTTGACAGTTGGTTCTGTTTTATTCCTTAATCACGTTTGCAAACATTTCTCCTTTGCTCTGACTATATCAGGCAGAAGAAAAAGAATAATACAGCATGAAAGGGCCCTACAAGCTCCACACCCAATATGTTGTAGCTGTTTATTACTTGAACAATAATGATGCTAAGCTCATCTGTAGCATTCTTTATTCATGAATAATGAAATATAATGAAATGCTTCATAAAAGGTGGCCTTTATTATCACCTATAACTGGTGGGGACACTTGCTTCTCTGGCAGGACTGGAGATAAAGATGATATTTGAGGCGGTATAATCATAGTGCATGTACTGAAAACACCAGATAACTCCAGCATACCAGATGGCCACTAGGAGATGCTGTAATATCCATAAGCTCTGCAGCATCAACTTATATTACAAGTTTCTCCAGCTCCCAAAGATCAGGTTAAAAGACTGCAAGTCATTTAACAGAGAATCCCAAGCATGTCCTAAAAAACCATGTATGATAGTACTGCTATTTTTAATCACCCCACTACACATTGTTTATAGTAATTCAAAATTCAAAACTTTCCATTTCACAGACCACCATGGTAGTATTTAGTCTGTTCTGTGTTGAGTAGTGATAATCTGTGCATATAAACTGCTCAAAGGTGACTCTTTCCTTCATCAGCACACATCTTCCTTTTTGTCCTCTGCCCAGCCAGCATCTAACAAAGTACTAGGAAGACCCACAACGTGTAAACCCAGCAAGCAGCTCTTGATCATGCATAGGCAAAAAAAATTTTGAACAAATACACACTACATTCCAACAAACGAAAAAGGGATATGGGCTCTTCTCTCATCCTAAATCATTAACACTATTACTTGCAGTAACTGGATTTTAATTTAAAATTTAAATTTAAAAGTAATTTAAGTTTAGTTCTTTTTATTTTATTTTCTGTCCAATACTGAGTATTTTCATATCTCATAAGGTAAGAATGGATATGCATTATCACATCTTTATAAGTGTGCCCAGATAATTTTTACATTTCCTATACAAACCTTTCATCACACTTCTTCCACATGACCCTTCATAAAAGACATTCCTTTACTAAGTTAATGAACCTGTCCTCCTCCTTTCAAGTTTAATCTCATCTCTGGATGCATTTACACTGTAATTTCTACAGTAAACTGTTGAGTGTGAAGGCTAGTAAGGATTATTCATATCCAAAATGGGCTTTGTTCCTTTTTTTACTAACAAATAATCCTATATATAATCAGTCAATGTAATTATGTGGAAGACAGTTACACTAATAAGGAAGATAATCAGTTTCTTTATTTTTTCCTCCATTTTTTACTTTTTCTGTTAAGTCCATATATATGGTCCACAGATAAATTACCTCCTGTAGTGTTTCTGTGTTATGCCTCAAAGTCGAGACATCATTCTGACTATTATGATACAAATGCAGAATAGTAATGGTAACAGGGAAAAAAAATTGTCACTTGGAATTACTTAACTTACCAAGCATAGTAGGATAGATATCCACAAGAGATACTACGTTTGGTATTTGTTGCTGTTCTCTTAAACCTGGTCCCATAACTAAAAGAGGAATGTGGGAACTTCCTTCATACATGCTCATTTTATAAAACTGACGGTGTTCCATAGCAAGTTCTCCATGATCTGCAGTGAATATAACAATTGTTTTTCCAAGAAGCCCAGTATCTCGCAGAGCTGAAATAATCTCTCCTGCAACATCAAAAAGATACTGAAAAGGATACATTCAAAATATTTCTTCCAAGGTCTGTACCTGCAAAGCAGCATGCAAGTTTCAAGGAATTCTCCTAATCCAGTGGAGGAAATTCCTCTTTTGTTGCACATATATTTGTGCAATGAAAAGAGAACATATACTCCTCTATTTTTGTACGTACATTTGTGCAACAAAGACAGGGCCAAGATCAATGAAGATGGTAGTTAAGCAAAGCACTTAGGCATCTTAAATATTAAAATTTTAGGATGACTCATGCCTAAACATACTAGTTAAAAGATGTTATAAAATTACAACAGCAGCGCAGTTACTTTGCAATCTCTTATTTCCTAAACCTGTAAGGCTTCCATTGTTTCATTCATAAAATGAGGAGGAGCAATTCTGTGTCTTTTAATTCACTTTGCCAATCTAATACGGTGTCCTGGTTTAGGTCATATGCCTAAAAGATTAGCTTATTTGGTCATTAATTTCATATTAGGATGCAAACAAATTCTTGTTCAATCATGGTCACTTTTCAAATCAAAAAATAAAATGCTGTAAATTAAGACCGACTTGCATTGTAAAATTTTTTATCTGTACACCTTCCTGCAATGTCTGAAGAATTCTAAATGTACAATTAATTATTTCTTCACAACTTTCAATAATGTGCTTTTAAGGGACATTCCAAACGTAACTTTATTCTTCAGCCAATGTGTAACAGTTGTTATCCAGTGTACACATTTGAAATCAGCTTCTAAGGAAAACAACTTATGCCCTAAAATTTATCTTTGCTTCCACCTCAGCTTTTACAGTCCCCTTCACCAAAGTGTTTCCATTATTTCAGTTAGCACTTAATTAAAGAGATTTAGTTTCTCTTGTACATAGGTATCCTGGGTACAGAGGAAAAGAAGGGTGAATTTCCAGCACTATTTAATAACATTACCACCTATGTCATGGAGGGGGCATGGTTTTCAGCAGGAGACACTTAGGTGTGTTGTAGGCGATTAGTCTAACCTCCGTGCTGGAAACACGTGAACTGCTCCCTTAACTGTTGCTAAAATCAAGGGAGGCTGTAACTGTTTCTGAAACTCTGACAAGCTGTAACTATTCCTGGAGTAGCAGGAAGATGCTGCTGCCACCACTGCTGCTAGTGCTTCCGCCACTGCTGCCACGGTCAAGGCTAGCACTTACAGAACCCTTTATTTGGATTAATTAGGTCTCCAGGCTTTGTTTTGTCCCTGTTTTCCATTGTTTCCTCCAGGCTGGAGAAAGGATAATAAATTGCAGAAACTGTTTTGCCTCATTGCTTCCATTTTTCAGAGCTGCATGGTCCAGTGTGGAGGGGATGGAGATGACAGGTGCCATCTTGCCTTTGTCTGGGAAAACCACACTACGTACTCTCTTTAGGGGGTGTTTTTGCTTTTTTGATGGTGAACACTTCCTCCTGGTGGAGCACACTCCTTTTGCGTCCTCTTTTATCTATACTGTCTTTATTACAAGTTTTTTGGTAAAACTGTTGTTCCCACTTCTGGTCTCTCCTAGTATTTCCTGTGCTGGGAAGGGAATGGAGGAGGAGGGGCAGCTTGCATGGGGTATTTTTCTCATTGGGTTTTAAACCAGAGCAATGGGTCATGCCATATTTTGCTGCAGTCAATGGCTTTCTACAGAGCTTCGAACTGCTGGCTGTGATTACTTTTCAGAGTGCTTCCAACTCACCTAAAAAGGTATCCTCTCATTTATCATATAGATTGAATGAGTAACTTGCACAACTTACTCCCAGATGTTTTGTTTTCTATTTTTTTCCTCCAAAGATCAGCTCTATCAGCACTTTCTTTAAAAAAAAATCAGAACTAGAAAACCCACTGTGTAATAAAACATTACCTACCCAGCATGGCATCTGTCTCTGCACACATAGCATAATAAAATGCTCTAATATTTCTGACTTCTTCCTTTGTAAACTCTCCTGTGCAATTCTTGGTGTATGATGAGTAATAGTCTACAGGATGCATCTCTGAAAGAGAAGACCACTTGGGTATTTTAATAGCTTCATAATTTACCTAAGAAATAAAGAGGAAATTAACATTACTTTAGCAACTGAATTAAACAAGTTTTTTAACACAGATTTAATTTTAAAAAGTATAGCATAAATTCACAGTTCTCAATTTATGGCTCAGGAAACAGTAGCTGCTTATTTGTTACACCATGCAGCTACCTCCTCCATACCTCACCACAGTTCCACAGGTAAATTGTTGCCTATGAAAATCAACTAGAAACCAAGGCTAGGAGCCACAAATATGTTCTTCACCAACTGCTGTATATTTTTAAGAGACATATCACAGAACACTCTTCTAGAGTAGGTACAGAATACCAGCAGAGAGTCTTTGTAACTGTAGAATAAGTATAAACCTATGGATCTAAAAGATTGGATGTTATGTGGGACTACAGAATAACATGGAAAACCATGTAGTCTGGGAAAGCCTCCAGGACAGTGATGACAAGTCTTGGCAATTTAATAAAAAGAACTCACTACATTAATCCAATTTTCTTGAAATTTCTACATGCTTCTACATATGTCAATCCATTTAGTTATAAAGAAATGTAACATCAGTGTAAAGCCAAAATGCCAATCTATTTGTATATTCAAACTATGTGTAGTCACAGATATTGTCTGCTTCAGTACTGGCTTTAGAGTTGTGAAATTTGACATACACATTTGGCCTTGGCTGTCATACTTGTAAATATTCCCTTAAATAAAAGAGAACATGAGGCAATTTCCTCTTGTACTTTCACTTGTTACTTGGAGGAAAAGCCAGCCAGCTAAACAATTTGATATATCTGCAACAGTTCTGCTACCCACAGAAGTAAAACCTGGCTTTGTAACAGTCAAATAGATACAACAAAATGTAAGTTTCCTTAGGATCTATAGAAAACAAACTGCTAGAAAAAATCATTAAGATAAAATAATAATGCTTCAGTCATTTTCTTACTGCTCAAGGTCCTTGGCTACATTTTGGAGTTATATTGTGGACTTTCCAAATGGTATTTATTAGCTGCTTAAGAGAGCAAAAAGTGTTCCTTTCTATCCATGACTCTTTTCTACAGGACTTCAGTCTAGTTTTAAATATTCACAAAGCCACAATCCCTTTGTCTGTCTATGGTAATGTCCTGGGTTACCCAAAACGTTACTGTATTCCATATCTATCTGTGCCATAAGATTGTTACTGTGTCTTTAAGACCTGAAGCATGGCTGGAACCAGAACTGCAGGGCAGCTGGGAAATGCCAGTCCCTTTAAAAGGTCAAGAAACCCAAGGCGACTTCCTCTTCTGCTGAAGGAGGAGACTCTACTTCAGAGGGGCCTGATATGGGTGAGTTTCTGGGCTTCCAGCGGTAGCAACTTGGAAGAACTGCATTTAGTGAACAGAAACTGTATTCCCAGTGATCTTTGCAAACTCCATAGGCAGTGAAGCTTGATCAGGGGGTGATCAAGCCCATCAGTGTCCAGAGACCAGTTTCCCCTGCTCCCTTCCCAAGCACACCAGCAGATCAGAAGGCACCAGCACCAACACCAGTAGAATCCGGCTGGTGGAAGAGGAAGCAGCAAACAGCGGTGCTGACCCCACATGTACCAGAACTTGCCATCTGCCACTAGACCTTCATAATCTCCAACCTTCCCAAGGAGGGTTTGCTGCCATCCATCCCCTTTGTCTCTTGGAGTGCATGGTGGCAGGTGCCACCTTGGAAAGAGCCTGACACCACTTTCCCTTTGCCCCCTGCAGACAGTCAGCAGCAGGGGGCTATCAGATTAGAAGGGAGCTGCGCCCCACCAGTTTGGGATCTCTTTGTTCCTGTGGAGCTCTTGGGATTCAGCAAGTTTGTATCTAGTGATTATTCACTGCTACTTTTTGCATGTTGCTGTTTCACTTGCTAGTAAACTTATGTTTTCACTTGTATCTATTGGTTCCTTATTGGTGGAAAGGGATTGGTTGAAACTAAGGGGAGGAACTCATGTCAGAATGTCTACCTCTTTGAATTGTCTTAAACCAAGACACACATAATTCACAACTAGGAAAGAAGCCACATGCCCTGAAAAATGACAACTTGTGTGAAACACAGGGGACCATCTGGTTGACAACACAATGTTTCACAGACATATGTGTTGATACTCTGTTCTGTATTACAGCCCAAATAAACAGGACATTTAATTCAGTTATTCACATATGTGATCAAACTTCTTCATGAGATTGCCTCTGTGATTTTAAAAGACTGTTTCTTCCATGACCTAAAAGAGCTACATTGCAGAAGAACTGGCCAATGGTCAGTAAATGGTAATATGTGGCACAAGGCAGTATGTATACACAGAGTGGGAAGGAGCCCAGCAAACTGTGCAGTTAAAGTACTCTGACTGGATAAAAGATGGCAAAAATTTGTCAAAGATGTTATAACTGTTTGTGACTCAAAAAAAGCACCTATGCTTCCCAAGATACATCTAACCTAGCAATCAGCACCCAGAAAGTTTTCCTTAATAACTAAGCCAGATCTCACTTTTTGTAATTGAAAGGGCTTTTTTCCCAAGTTCTTCCTCCCCCCACAAACTTCTCGCCATTTCCAGAAGAACCTACAACCCTCACTATCATGAAAAAAAATTCACATCTCTCAACCTTCATTTGTAAATCCTTTTTTTCTAAGTATTTGTATTTTTGGTACACCTAGATAAAGATGTTTAGCAGTTCTGTTGTGGAAAAGACCACAAGTTACATAAATTGCATACGGAGGGGTTTTTTGAAGTATAAAGTCTTATCAACCTAATTCTAATTCTGCAGCTGCAGCAAATATTAATGCCTTTCTGCAATTAAATCTATTGTAGTAAATTTGTATTTTATGGCAGTTAATGTCAACTGGAAACTATACAAGACTGAAAAAAGTATCTCTTCTTTGGAATGGAGTGCTATATTATAGTTTTACACATACAGACATAAGGACACTCTTGTGCTGGAAAACATACAGTAGCACAGAAGAAGTTAACAGAAAAGGAAGACTTCTGTTGTGTCTTATGTTGCTTTATGTTCTAGGTCCATACTGCAGAAAAAGTCAATCTTTCACTGCAAAACTCAGACAAAATTATTATATATAGCATCATTTCTGAAAAGCAAAATACAGAATGTTCATAACATTAAGCTTCAGACCATTACCAAAATTAATTTACAGCTAAGAAGAGCAACAATCTCATTTTTCTTAATGTGTTTCTAGCTATTGAACTCTGTACTTATCGATTCAATGACTACTGCTAACAAACCTTTTCCCACAACAGAGAGAAATTTGTCACTTCTATTTTCTTAGCCTTTAATCAGGAATCTAATATTTCATTCAAGTATGTTCTTACTGTGTAGTGATATATCAAAACTCGGTCTATCTTAAAAATCAGGAATAAAATATTGTATTAAAATACAGTTATTAATAAATTAGTATTTAAATTTTATATTCACATACCTTTTCAAGCCAATAGGGAGATGTTAAAAATGTAGAGGATCCAAAACTTTCTCCTGCATAGGGTGATGGATATGGGTGTGGTAAATTTAGTCCCAAGTAAAGAATAAATGGTTGAGTAAAGTTAACAGCTTCTTCCTTTATCCAATTTACTGCTTTATCAGTATTCTGCCAATCTTTTTCCATTACTCTAAACTGCTTCCTATGGCCTGTAAGTTTCACCATGGGTCTTCCTTCTTGTCGGAGCAGGAAGTTAACATCCCTAGTCCAAGCTTCCACACGGTTACTGAAAATACATACACAAGTCACACACTCAACAGAAAATGTTTTCTTCACTTTTTCTCCAAGCAAAAAGCATTATGAATTCCTGAAGAAATTCCCCTACACTTTCAGTTGCAATCTATTTGCAATACCTGCAAAAAGGAGAATTGTTATTCAATTGAGCAATAATGATTGTGCATCTATTTTATAATCAGACCTTCAGCCTTTTTATGTCTGCTTCTGAATCTTTTTTCTTATTTATTACCCATTTATGTCAGAATGGCTCTTGTCACATCTACAAAATAATACTTAGAAATACCATTCCATCTTGTGGACCTCTCTCCACTTTTTGGCATAGATTCACACACTATTTATTTGTAAACTGGGCCAGAGATTTTTATGTGAAAGAGTATAGTGGGAAATAACTTTACTGGTGAGGCTGCCTTTAGAAACAACATTCTGGATGTGGCTTGTACTATTAATTAAACACACTTTAGACAAAAATCTGTAAGAATTATTTCTCTTGTATAAATCCTATCAAACAATAATAGAAAAGAATGCAAAGAAAGCAAGAAGGAGGGGAAAACAGCAACATTTTAATGACAAAATATTTTTGAACATATTTTCTAACGTCATGGCGATTGTTAGTCTCTCTAAAACACTAAAACAAATCTGAGCTGCAAATGTCCTTGTTTCTTTGCTAGAGTGAATGATGGTGGACATTGGTAAGAGGCAGACTACCTAAGACCTTGACTAATCTTCATCTTGTTCATGGCAACGTCAATATAACCAAGAAATTACAAAGGAAAGTATAAAATTGCTCAAAGATTGATCACATCGAAACACAGCATTATTACTGTTTAAAGAGCATCTAACTAGTTTTATCCCCAAAGGAATTTTACCAATGCACTTTAACTTCTAGAAAAGCTATCTGTAACAATTTTTTTATTGTTTTAACTTCTTGTTTAGGCTAACACTCTCAACCTACACAGGCTTAAATAAATTACTTAGAATAATATAGGGTATCTGGTTTACAGAGAAAGCATGTTTCATAAACATTAAAATGAAATTATGATAAAGGAGTGTGTGGGTGTGTCTAATTGTACCTAATGTCATAACACTGACTTATACAGAAAAAAACAATACTACGTAGGCCATGGGCCAATCTGATTATCCAGCCAGATAAGGAGATCCAGTGAGATCCATATAAGATCCAGTGAGATTAGGATCAATTTTAAAAAACCAAATCCCCTCATAACTAAAAAGGAAGCATTAAATAACTCTAACCTGTTTGTCATTAAAGAAAAAGCTTCTCTTTATTATTATTTTAACAATGGACATTATTATTAGTCAGTGAGACAGAGCATGTTCATAAAAACAACACAGAATGAAGATTCCCCAGCAGCCCATGGAGAAGATGGTGAGGAAGGCTGTACCCCTGCAGTCCATGGAACAGATGTCCACTTGCTGCCTATGAAGTACCCCACACCAAAGCAAATGGATATCCAAAGAAGGCTGTGATCCTGTGGAAAGCCTGCACTGGCCTTCCAGCACGACCTGTGGACCTGCAGGGAAAGGAATCCAGGCTGGAGCAGGTTTACTGGCAGGACATGTCACCCCCTAGGGAGACCAACACTGGAGCAGTTTGTTCCTGAAGGAGTGAAACCCATGGAAGGAACCCATGCTAGAGCACTTTGTAAAGAACATAAGCCCATGGGAAGGACTCACTTTGGAGAAATCAGTGGGAGAGGGACCCCACACTGAAGCAGAAAAGGTAAGGAGTTCTCCCCTAATGAGGAGTGAGTGGCAGAGACAATGTGTCATGAACTGACCACAGTCCTCACTCCCAAACCCCTGTGAGTAGACGTAGTAGAGAATCTGGAAATTAAGCTTGGGTAGAAGGGTGGTGGAAAGGTGTTTTAAGATTTGGGTTTACTTCTCATTGCCTTACTCTGGCTTCTAATTAGCAATGAAAGAAATTAATTTTCCTAAGTTAAGTCTGTTTTGTTGTGTACCTGAGTGATCTCTCTCAGTCCTTATCTTCATCGAGTCGTTGTTTTTTCTCCTTCCTGCTCACTGGAGGAGGTGGAGTCACAGAACAGTTTGTTCCATCATGGTGGCCCTGGTGTGTCCATCTGGGGTCAACCCACCACAACAACACAAGTCTTTGAACACTTACGGCCTTCAAAAAAACCCCTCAAAACCTCTGATATTTTGTGACAGTAGGCTTAAGATTTAATTATTATAGATATGGGGTTTCATTCTGCTTTTCCTACACTGTTTGTATTACCAGGAAGTCAGGAAGTCTTAAGGCAAGGCAAAAACAGTTTACGAATTTCACTTAGGGAGCAATAATACCAGTGTTAGAAAATAACCATTCATGTTGGGCAAACCAGCAGCTGCAAGAGATAGACTTGCTTCTCCATGAAGTTGCAAGACAGATCTCTGCCAAGCACCCAACACAATTTCTTTTAAGTTAAAGCTACTATCATTTCACCTGGAGACTGAAACCACGCGACAGCACACTACATGATTTGCTCACTGCTGCCCATTTCACAGCAGGAGAATCTACCTGATTACCTTACTGAATGATGTCCAGAAGTAAAGTCCAATTTCCCAAACTTCTGCGTATGGTAGCCATGCTTCTCCATGAGATCCATCCATGTTACATAATCTGGATCTAGACCTTTGAAGTTATTCCAAGATTCTGTTATATGAGTGAAAAGACCACTCCACATAGCTGGGGAAAAAAAATCATGAGTGATTAGTACTCCCCACCTGTAAGGTTGGGAAGGGATTAATCTTCTCATTATTACAGAGGTAAAAAGTCCAAACTATGATACAATAGAACAAGGAATACAAAGTATTACTCTTACAAATCTTATTTCATAATCAACACAAGTATCAAAATTTACTCGAATAATCTCCAGAATTGCAGAAGAATGTCCCGTCTTTCCAGGTACTATGCAATCATTAAATCAAGCTGTAACTAGATCAGAAAATATTCTTCTTGATTTCTGAAAGAATCTGGTAGCACAGATCCTGATTAAACAATCCCGTATTTACATGTGTTTCAGAATGTTAGTTACCCTTATAACAGTTAAATTTAATGCAAGTTTAAAGTTAAGTATATTTGTGGAGAGAATTTAAATACAGTATTCTCATAAATACAATATGCCCTCAATTTTATTCTTTTTAGGTAATCTACTTCACTACCACTTGCAGAAACAAAGTGAGAATATTAAAGAAGATACCAAGAAGAAAGGCAAACAAGGCAAGAGTTGCAAAGGAACTACGAGGGAAGATTTTAAAAGTGAATTCTTATTTCTTTGCAGCTTATAAAGAATTGTTCACTCTTTCCAGTGCTAATTCAGAGTTAAAGGTAGTTCCAAAATAGAACTAAGTCCCTTCACAAGCAATATAAATATCCTGTAAGCAAAGTGCATCAACGCCATATGGCAATACGGGTCCTTTCCCCACCCCAAAGCCCTCCTTCCCACTATATCTCTTCTGGTATCATCCCTGACACCTCCACAATAGATGTACCCTCAGCTCCTTGCAGGTATCCAAGCTCCTGGCTATGCAAAAGATATCCTGCTGGTTCAGAGCCCCACATATGAGCACAGTAGTCACAGCTACCTACAACACTACACAAGTGATGAGTTTAATTCCCTATGCACTTTCTTTCTCACAGGAGTACTAACCTGCCATTTGCACAAACTTCTTAAAATTAAATAACATTAAATATTGGTCTTAGCAATAAAAAATGGCTGAAAGACTCAAGCATCAAGAAAAGGAAAGGAAGGCTGACTGCTTGTTCACGTAATATCACTTAAAATGTGACCATGAGAAAAAGAAATGGGGACTAGGTAATCAATAAAGAGAATATTAAAAATGTAACACTATATATGACTGTCTTTGTCTGCTGCTTCTTTCAGTGTATGCTTTGAGAGGAAGGGGGACCTTTCTATAGCTAGATCAAGGAGTATTTAGATTTTACACAGATTAAGCAGAGTCTTTGCAACAATTGAAAAAGATAGAAATGTTTTAAGATGTAATCTTTGATTAACGAATGTAGTTTTCTTCTATCTTCCTAGCAAATTCTGCAAGTGTGAAATTGAACACAGAACAAGAATTGCATTAAATAAAGAAAAACATGGCAGTATTCAATTAAAGCTACTGAAAGATGCATCATGTATCTAGAAGACAGTGGAAACTGCTACCACTTTATTCAGCTATTGTTATTTATCATTCTTTGCTGAATACAGGAAAGATATTTATTAACTTTGTACTAGGAAGAGAGAGTAGTTCTGAGCGTAGTTTCAGCACTGCAGCAGAACAAACCAATGATTTATCTACAAATCCTGAAGATGTTTTAAAATCTGAAGCCTCAGTCCCAAAAAGATTTGGGAGCTTACACTTAATTGAAAAAATGAGAAACAAAAGAAAAAAGGAAGAAACATAAGAAACAGAAGAGATAAACAAATGAAAGAGAAGAATACCATAAGAATTCAAACACAAGATTAAAAAAAGGATCTTATTGAAAAACAAAACAAATCCCTCCCCATTAAATAATTTCAAATTTCCCATAATTACCATATATTTCAATTGACATATGCAAGCATTTATCTGGTGTTTTGCTTGGTTTTACCTGCACGTGAAGGACAACAAATTGGAGAATTGGTGTAGGCATTGAGAAAGACAGTGCCACGTCTTTTCATAAAATTTATGGAAGGTAAATCCACAGTCTGATTTCCAGGGAAAAATGTCAAACGTCCATCCTGCAATGAGACAAAAGCAACAATGCAAATGTTGCAAACTATCGGCCATATTAATTCATATATTTGTTACCGTGGACTGGTGTTGCTCAAATGCTGCCAATTCTATGCAGGTTTGGAAAACAGTGTTGAGAAGCCCTAAGTAGAACAATATAAAAAGGATCACTTTTGAATAAGTGCAATGGAAATAATAACTGGGCTTCTTTATAATAAAATTAATTCCACTGCATCACTATACATATTCCAAGCTCCAGTTCTTCAGGGGTAGGGTTGTACCATGACACATTTAATGGGAATAGGTGCAGTGAACAATAAGGCTGGATCCCAATTTAGATGTGTGCACTAGCACATATTTCTGTGAAACCATCATTGAATCCTCATCCTTTCTAAAGGTTTATCCATACTAATTCTCTGTGAACTTATTTGAAACTATGGACTGGAAAAGGGATCAGAAAGCTAAAGAAAGGCTATTCTCCCACAGAAATCCCACCCACAATGGTTCCCTTTTGATACTTCCATAATGCTAATTTTGATGCTTTCATAATGCTTATTTCATTTCAATAATCTATTTGTTTAGACAGTTTTTTCAATCAGTAACTGAAAAAAGATTAAACATTTTGAATAGGTAATTTTACAGTAAAATATTATCATCACATGAAACCAGGTTTCATGCATATTTCATGTCACTGTGTTTCATCTGTCACTTTTATTCCCTTCCTTGGTTGAATAAGATGGGCCAACACAGCCCCAGCCTGACTGGCTCTTCAGTGAACAGATAGGCAGCAGTGCATCTGCAGTTTTAACTGCAGAAAAATGTAATTCCCGGCATTCGGTTTTGTGCAAAAATACTCTTGGATAACCCAGCAATGTAGAGAGTCACTTCATTTGGCACCAGTAGAGCTAACTGCAGCATCCCAACCTCTGAACTCAGCTCATATCAGAACATGCTAAATGAGCAATCACCTAATCTCGTATACTACTACAAATGGCATCTTGATCAAGCACTCAGTAGGACAAACTGGAAATGAAGTTGTAATACACAATAAGAACTTGAACAAAAGTTTGGACTGAAAGCGCTCTTTAGAAAGTTGTCCTGCTTCCAGCCAGGATAGGGTTCATTTTGGCAGTAGCCAGGAGGGGACAAGGCTGACATGGAGGTTATTGTGTAACACATGACATTTTCCAGGAACAGGGAAAGAGGTCCTTTCCAGGTCAGAGCAGTGTGGCAGCCAACAGACACTGTCGGGCTCTGCATAGTATAGCAGTGAGCATTCAAATGTGAATTGCTCACCACTCTGGTACATTTTTGTTATTCATGTTATCGCTGTTACTGTTCTAGTAAATTGTTCTAGTTCTGCTGTTTCTAGTAAATCGTTCTGAGCCCAATCCATGACCTTTATCTTTTGTGTCTCCAATTCTCTGCTCCAGCCTGCCGCAGAAGAATGGGAGGGGGACAGAGAAGCGAGGAAGTGGCACATGGTTTGAAGTGATTTCAGTGGGAACACTAAATCAGAGAACACTACTCCTAAACCATGACAAAAGTACTCAACTGCTGTGCAGTCCTGTCAACAACACACTATTAAATTTCTCCAACAAAGTCTTGTTTGAACAGCTGGAGACAAGAGTTTCTTACATTGATACTGTGATACCATATTCAATGGCACAGTAGCAAAATAACTCCTTATTCTTGGTGTCACAGTACACTTAGTGTACTGTAACATGATTGTTGTTTCTACAGATGATAGGGTATTCAGTGAAAGTAGTAAGGCTGAGAAGGTGGAAGCTTAGCAACTATTTCAGGAAGTCCATCCCCTAAGAACTGTGTAGGATTTCCAGGTTTTGAAATACCTAAGGAAATAAAATTATTTTAACACAAACAAGCACCTTTCATGCAGAAACTTGAGCTGCATTGCAAGCAAAGCCTGTCATCCATCACACAGTAAATTTCAAGTAGCAATTCAGGAGCTGAATTGCCTACTAGCACATTTCAGCAGGAAACCCTCGGAATAGCACAATGCCTGGTGTGACACAGCAGCAGAAAGCTGGCTGTTCAAGTAAGAGGTCACTGTTCTGCAGGCCAAACACAATCCAGCATCACTGTGAAGAAAATTCTTGTCCCACTTGGCAAAATAGCTGCGATTCGTTCATAGGCAGTGTGACCCACAACAAAGGCAGGCATACTTTCTAATAAAAACCCAGACCTTTTAACAGCTGGCAGGACTTCAGCTTTTTCCCAGAAAAACTGCTAGTTTCAACAGTACCCCATCCTTCCTATTGTCTACTAGTGATGTAATCAAAATGGTTCATCTATTTCTACCTTCATCATTTCTACCTTCAATCTCAGAAAAAAAGCTTACACAACACATTTCTTTTACTCTTCTTTGTATGCACTATGCAAAGATGACACTTTTCAAAAACAGCACCCTGTTCTTAAGTGTTTCCATAAGAATTCCACAAAAATTGTGGGTTTTATCTTTTTCTTTTTTAAGGGTTACCTCATTAATCACTGTAATACGGTTTACAAGAATCTCCCTGCTTAAAGGAGATACATAAAAGTTCACCTAAGGTTTGTCTGCAGCCTCTGCTAACATCTGGATATAAAATGGACATTGACTAACCCTCACGATCTTGAATACTGTAATTTTAACTATTGGTAAATAGACTTCTATTAAAAGGTGAAAATTTGGAGAAAAAACCCACATATTATTTTGGAATATTAAGAGAGACTATTTACTGAAAATAAAACTAACAGAGAATAGAGTCAAAGGAAGGAAAGTCAATAAGGAGCTATTACATAAATAAAGAAGAAGCTATTTCTTTGTCTTTGAAATCACAATGAATGTGTTTAAAGACAGGGTTTGAAAAAAGATAATACATGTTTACCAAATATTTAGGAGAAAATCATCCCAAGAAAAACAGGCAGCAGACAAGAAGCAAACTGCTTTTACCTGTGCAGTCAAGGCGGGAAGACCAAGAAGGTTAGGGATCAAACTTCCTCATAGTTAAACAGAAGTGATGAAATGTGAAAGCACCTGGAGCTTAACACCACAGAGCTTATGTTTGATTCTACAAGGTGAGTTCAGGTGAGTTAGAGAAACCAAGGCTCCCTGGAGTAAAACACACCAAAGCATTCTTAGTGTGCTAGTGGGCACAATGAGACAACTGTGAAGATACACGAAGGATTAGTATTTGTGAGTGGGAAAATTTCTTTGTCTGAAGGGTAAACCAAATATATTAATAAATCACTGTGATGAAGCTGCTACATGCCTACTGCTAGAGACACACGCCTGACAAGTTTACTGTGTTGTTATACCTTAAAAGAGCCTCAATAAACCAGTACTTGGTACTCAGTAAGTCAGCAATTTCATCTGTGATTCTAGAAATTCGCTGTCCCATTTGTTGTGGAGACTTAATAGCCATAGGACTTACAATGGGAAGGGTAACATGGTTTAGTGACCTTGCTTGCCGTTAGGCTTTTCAAGCGAACCGAAGAGCATTGACTGTACACACCAGCCCTGCTCCTGGGATAGCTGCCCGGCCAGGGAGTCCTGCTGGCTCGTCCCCCTCCCGGGCGACAAGCTCTATGACCCCAGACCAAGGGAGCCACCTGAGCAGAGGTTTTCGGCTGCTGGGAAGCCCCTGATGCGAGCAATGCGCACCCTTCTGGGAAGCGGGCCGCGTCTGGGTCGGAACACTGCGGTAAACAGTCGGGGTGCGGCTGTCTCGTCGTACGGCGGGCCCGCTGCTAATGCTGCTGCTGTTGCAGCCCCTGCCCCCGCTGCCGCTGTTGCTGCTGCCGCCGCCGCTGTTGCTGCTGCTGCAGCCCCGCCGAGCCGCGGGCGGCCCGCGCAGTGAAATCGCGCTTGCGCATACCCGTGCCTCTGGCCTAGGTAATGCATCCATAGGGCCGCGATGTGTCATCCTCGCTAGTTCCGTCCAGGCCACCGCCGAGGATTTCTCCCACGCCCCGCCCTTACCTGTCAGCGTGTCCTTCCATGCCCCGATCACTCACCAAGGAGTCGCAGGCTACCAACACCACGTTAGATCGGGGCTGGTCCCCGGGGACGGCGGACCGCGGCCTTGCTCCCGCCCCGGCGGCCATGAGGAGCACCGCCACGCCAGCTAGCCCCAGCGGCCCGCAATCTCGCATCGCCCCTCCACCGTTGCCTCCAGCTCTCTAACCGAGGAGCAGCAGCTCCGAAAGCAGATTCCGAGGCTCCGGCCACAGCGAAAGATTTGACCCCACCGCGCGCTACCCGCTCACTGCGGCCTACAACTCCCACGATGCCCAGTGCGGCGGCCTGCAATTCCCAGCGCGGCCCGGGAAACGGGAACTACATCTCCCACGGTGCCCCAAAAGAAAATGGCGGCTGCCGCGGCGTGTCACTGCCCCGCGTCGCAGTGCGCATGCGGCCTGGTGGCGGCTGAGGTGGCGGACGCGGCGGCGGCTGCAGGTGCGGCAGCGGCGGGCGGCGGCGCGCCTTGGGGCCGGGCTCGGTCCGCCCTGGGCGCCGGGCTCGGGGCTCGGGACTCGGCCCGCCGCGGCTTTCCTTGGGTGGGGGGCTGCAGGCGTGGATTGCCTCCCCAGGAGGTTTGCGGTCCCGGAGGCCGGGCTGGGTGGCCTCCCCGGTGCCCAGGTTTGCGCCGCAGGGTGTTTTGCCTGTAGGTGACTGTGCAGCTCAGGCTGGACAGTGCCCGCGGTGGCGTGCGTTTGTGACGGCCGAAGCATGTGTTCCCTCGTAGGAAGCAAATTTATCTCCAGGAGCTGCTGAGCGATTCAAGTCCGACAGATTTCTTTATAGGTTCTGAGGAAATCTTTGAAATTCGATGTCGTCCTATATCCAACCATTCCTTTATTTTTGCTTTGCAGCTCCTGCAAAGATTTTTTGTTCTTCAGCTGGTTGCGTTTTTCATCTTTTTGCGTCCTGGCAGCAGTAGTGTTTCTCAGTCTCATCCTATCTCGGCAGCTTTGACTGTGGTGTTTCTAAAGTTCATTTTGTTGTACAACATACACCAAAACATTGCAAGATTGTGTTAAAAAGCGTCAATGCCTCTTTGCTGTGTTCTTAAATGCTTTTTCTTTTTTGATTCGTGGCAGTTGTCAGAGGCAGAGTCTGCTGTAACTGTGTGTGAAGGGCGGGCCGCGCCGAGGTGTGACAGATAGCCACGGTGCTGCTGTGGAACGCTCACAGAGAATACCCTGGTTCTTAGCAGCCTCTGAAACACTTTTCTCGGGCCATAGGTGTCTTAAACACGGTTCACTGCTTAGTTTCTTTTTAAAAAGGATGTGTGGCCTAACTGCAGGCTCTCAAAACACCTCTTCCTTAAATTTATCTTGACTTGTACAAAAAGTTTCACTCTTGGATAGCTACTTTGTATCATGTAACTCTTTGGAATAATGAGTGAATTCTGCATTGGAGCTAAGTCGTAGTAGTTTCAACTATGCCATCTTTTCATTAGTTTCTGGTGCTGTACACATTTTGGCATACTGCACTAAATTTCTCTCTTTAAAATAACCCCTGTGCAGTAAAGGTATAAACATTTTGTATATGTCAGAATATCTGTTTTTGCAAGAACTGATGATATGTCCTTTGTATTAAGCAGCCACGATGTCAAATAAGGAGGTGAAGGCAGCGTTGAAGAGTGCTAGAGATGCAATAAGAAATAAACAGTACAAGGAGGCCTTAAAGCATTGCAAGGTAATTAATTTTATACTTGGAAGGCAAGTTTGGGGCTTTTTGCACATTTTGTTCTTTTTCCCTCACCTCCACAGCTGTATAATTAAGAGTGCAGAGTGTAGAGTACCTTATTGATGTGATAGTTGAGATGGATTTTCAGAATTAACTTGATTGTTTGTGTTAGTTTCCCCCATGTAAACTTTTATTCCCTTTTTTTTTTTAATTTGCTGACATGTGGCCGTAAGAGTATTAAGTCTAGAATGATAGAGATAAAAATCCATTTCTAATCCAGACCTCCTAGGAGTGCTTTAATTGCTGGGCTACAGCACTAACTCAACATCAGATGTGAAGCATCCTCTAGTGTAAGAAACTGAAGTTACTAATCTCAGCGTCTTCCTTAAAATTACTTAACTCCTAATATTGCCATATAAAATAATTCACCAAACTGTATTGATAAAACTCAGTACATGAATATGTAAGTTACATTTCTTTAATCAGATTAATCTTTAATAATTTCTTTAATCATTTTTTACTTAAAATTGTGTGGTTTAGGCAGTCTTGAAGCAAGAAAAAAATAACTACAATGCTTGGGTATTCATTGGCCTGGCAGCTGCTGAGTTAGAGCAGCCTGATCAGGCCAAAGGAGCATACAAGAAGGCTATTGAACTTGAACCAAACCAGTTACTGGCATGGCAGGTATGTGAATATCCAATTTTTGTTTCCCTCAAAAGTATCACTATGGAGTTAAATATAGGAATAAAGCAGAGTTAAGTCTTGTATCTTGTTTTCTTGAGGCCCTTAAGTTCCAGAGAAGCTTTGGAGTAGATGGGGTTTTCTGTTAGTTGTGTGTCCAATGTAAAATCATGGTGAACTTTATTTTCAGTACATCTGAGTTTGTATTTCTTATGTAGACTACACAGCGGTGAGACATGCAAGGGAGAGCACTAATTGAAACAAATACAGTAAATTTGTCCAAAAATTTCTATGCTTGTAGCTCAATAAACACCTGGCAGTTCTTCTCTTACGGATCGAAAATGTTTTATCTGATGCTTTCAGCATCAAGTGGATTGTTAATGAATGTTATTGTTACTTGAAATCAAAAAGTTTACATTTAAAACAGCTGTGTGGTGTGTGCATTAGAGCCTATTGCAATGTACATTTACAACCTGCAATTTTGTTATGTATTAATTCATGAAACATAAGATTTCATATTATATATCTGTTGCTGATATCAACAGTCAATATTTCTCTAAGATAATAAAGTTCTTAGTATTTTCAGTAAAAATGGTATTTTAAAGTATAACTGTTGGGGCTTGAATTCAGTATATGTTGAAATTTCCTCACTTTTGCTATTAGTTTCTGGCTTTCTTGATACAATACTTGGGTGTGTATATATGTTGTTATGTATTTTGCATATTACATATACATATATATATATGTGGTTATAAGGCCCAGTGAAGTTTTATATTGTCTTTTGTGCAGACCAGATCAAGTAACCGATACAAGTTTCAAAAAATTGTTGTTATTAGTAAAGAAATTGAAGAAAGCTTTTCACTTAAAATAAGTGGATTGAGTAGGCTGTGCAGAATTCTGCACAGTGATTACTGCCTTTACACTTGACCCCATTGAAGGCAATGGAATATTTTTTGTATACAGAACAGGTAGCATTCTCATAAAACATAAGCATTGTCAAATCTTGCTTCCTTTACTTTTTTTTGTTGGTTTTTTTTCTTAAGGGGTTAGCAAATTTGTATGAGAAACCCAACCAAACAGATGTCAAAGGAGACTTAGCAGATGTGTACCAAAAACTCTTGGAACTTCATGAAAGGTAAAGAATATTGAATGCTATAAATTCAGTCTAAAGATCTCTAGTTCAATGAATGCCATTGGTGGTATAGAGTATAGACTTTGAGTTTTTGAAGCCTTCTCACATCAGTAGTTCAGCCCTTGTGCTAAGGTTTTCTCTGCTTAGGTAAGTTTTCTTTTTCCTGTTCCTTTTGGTAGAGCAAAAACTCTCTTAGCTTACATGTACTTGAGGCTAGTAGTTTATGGAATTCCATGTTATCCTATTCCTGTCCAAACTTGAAGCATTTATCTCTGATAGGTGATTGCCTGCATTAATAAGAAGGCTTATTTTTCACTGCTTTAAGATCACAGAATATGTGTCATGCAATTTGTAGAGGCACAGTTCTAACAAATCTGGCTCAGCTGTCACTGTAGCTGACTGGAGTGCTTGGTTACTTTGAAAACTGATCCAAAAATCCATAAAAGTTATTTTTTTTGTTCAGAGCAATGAATAAAACTTATTGGGCAATTTTTAGTATGTAGTCTAAATATGAGTTTGACAACTGAACTTACTGAAAATTATTTGTCAGAATTTGAAAAGCATTACACTGTTATATAAAAACTTGTTTTGGGGGGATTTTCTTCCTTTCTAGTGGTGACAAGCAGAAATGGTGTGATATATGTAACAAGCTTGTGGAACTATACCATCAAGAAAAGAAATATTTAGAGGTAGGTCAAGCACTTTCTTACTTCTAACAATTATTTTCCATTTGATCTAACTACTTTTCATCACGAAACCCCCATTCTTATGGGCCACAGACCACTTAAGATCTCCTTGTGGACCACAACCAGGAGGAACTGATTTTAACTGTATTTTGTCTTTTCCACTGGGTGAGACTTAGATGCAATCCATTAAACTGACAGAACTGGCAAAGACTATTATTATTGAGAATGAAAGGGCAGAATATCATCCTTCTGTTGTATTTCTAGAAGTGAAAAGTGGTATTAAATGTAGTATGTGTGGGTCAGGTGTCCTTTGCCTGGCTTGGCCAGTGCTGTGTGTCCGATGAGCCTTTCACTGGTGGGTGATCCCTTCCTAGGCTATTACTGAAGCTTCATTCTAGAGCGTAGGGTGGGGTATGTACACAGCCTGAACTTGATTGCATATGTCTTCTGTACTGCATTCCCAACACAATGATAAGGACACAAAAAACCTCTTCAGAGCAACACAAGCTTTGCAGAAATCATTGTGACTCTAGTCAGTACCGGGAGGTGGAGTTGTCAACAGTCATGTTTCCTGCAATCTCTGTAGTATTGTTACAGAATGTCTATTTTGGAGGTATGCACTTTGCTCTTTCAAAAGGCTGTTTTCTTACCTGGTGGTGCATGATTGTATTCTATGTCATCTTCCCCCCTCTCCTCCAGCAATGGAACATGGAAAATTTTACATAGCACGGAGCATGGGGCTGAAGGCTATCAGTTAACTCCAAAACCTCATTGTATACCAGCTTCTTAAACTAAATTTAATGCTGATAGTTTAGCATATGAAGGCAGACTAACTCTATATGGAACAAGAACCTGAAGTTAGGCTTCAGGGTCCTATTTTTTCTTTCCATTTTTGTTGACTTTTCCATGCTGGAATTTCAGTGTGAACTGCTCCTTTTGTTCTCTTTCTGTTTGTAATGCCCTAGATATTTAGGTTTACTTTTACTGTTGGTTTCCTCCAGGAATCAGAGTTAGAATTCATATACTCTTGATGTTGTCTAGCTTACTTACTGTACTTTGGAAGGTAGAGAGGTTGCACGCAATGCATTGGGACTCGCTATTTGTTTAATCAGAAAGCAAATAAATCTGGGTTAGTGAGTAACTGTAAATGTTACTATGTTGTCTACCCTAGAGTGATAGAGTTTGATACCAAAGGGGTAACCCAAGAATGAGGAATTCTACTGTGTGTGCGCACTTTTGGCAAAGAAACAGGGTGTACAGGATCTGCTTTCTGAGCAAGGACAAAAGGAAGATAAGGGGAGGTCATCTGGCTTAGGAATGCAGTGCTGCCTAAACAAGACTATAAAAGACTGAACCAGGGGAGGGATTTATGGTAATAAACGATTATGATATCTATTATGACTGTGTATAAGCAATGCACTTGCAGAGGATCGGAATGCCCACCAGGTGGAGCAGTCCCCCGTGCATCCCTTACCCAGTAAATTAAATAATGCTGATTTCTTAAAGCTGCATTGGTATTAAGGAGTTTATTTACCCAGTTTTCAGTGAATTTTGGTGACAAGTTGACTACTTATATCGGACTTTCAGCTCTTTAAAGAGTAATCAGCATAGGTCATTTGTTCCTGTTGACAGGTGGCTGAAACTTGGCAGAAACTAATAAGGATGAAGCAGGAGGAAGGTGCAGAAAAGGCAGAGCTTCATCAGCTTTGGAAGAAGATGATCCAGTTACTGAAAGACAGTACAAGGAACCAGGATAATAAGACTGGGCAGTTGGTAATGTTTCTCACTCCTTGTTCAGCTAGGTACATATATATGTCCAGTGCACCTAGTAATTGCGGCCTGTTTGTCTGAATTGACTGTCTCAATGTTCAGAGGTACTAAATTTCTGAGGAAAAGTTGGGCAGCTTTACATTTTGACAGAAACAGCAACTGTGCAGCAGCCTGAGATAAGCCTTAGGTGTAATGAGTCACCTAAGTTCTTCACAAATTGTTCTAGCATGGTTTGTTCTACAGGGTGTAGTCCTTCACTAGCAGACTGCTCCAGCACGGGTCTTTTTCTTACTCTCACATATTCTTACCTTTCTCTCTGCCTGTAATTGCTGTTGTACTGGTTTCTTCCCCTTCTTGAATCTGTTATTCCAGAGGGACTCCCAGCATTGCTGATGCTCTTGACCTCAGCCAAGCATGTCTGTCTTGAAGCCAGCTGCATCAACTCTGTTGGACATGGGGAAGGTTTCTAGCAGCTTCTCATAGAACCCACCCCACTTAGCCTCCCTCTAGCAAAACTTTGCCACACATAACCAATACAGATGTTCTTCAAAAAAACAAACTCCCCCCTGCTTTCATCCAAGTAGGAAGAAATGGATTTGTAAGGTTTTTCCGTTTCTTTGTACCTATTCTTTTTCCTAGATAGAAATATTTTGGATGAAATTTTCTTTTCTCCTCTAGGTATTAAGCTTTAACTACTTAGGAAAGTGTCAAAGCTGATTGAAACCAAACAGAATGATCATGAGTCCTCTGTGGACAAAGTTAATTTTGTTTTATCTGATTTATCTGTTCTTGGAAGATGAACTTCCTTCAGCATGAAAGGTGGAAATGTATCACCTGATAGCAGTGTTTCAGAAAGGAGAAAATACAAATTGAAGTTATTTCAGATAGCAGAAAATTGAATCTGTATCTCTACTTTTAAAAAAGCAAAGGCTTTGACTTCAAGCTAGTGTAGAAAAGAGGTACTGCAGGCAGCACTGCTTTTTTGGAAAGGAGAAATAACTTCAAAATATTTTTTAAATAGCATAAACCTCAGGAATAAGTTTCACATGCAAATCCACAGCTTATTGCAGTTTCAAGTAAAGCACTTGAATGTGGAAGGCTGCGAACCTGAAAGCAACACACTTCAGTATTTCTCTAGTGACAAGCTGTGTACAACTTTGTTTAGCATGGTTGTTTGTAAGCCTGCACTCTGGTCCCTGTGTTGCCCAAAGCGTCAAGAAAAAAAGATTAGACTAGACTTCTAGATTTCTAGACCAGAGTGGGAAGAGAGGCTGACAGCTAACCTTACAGGATAGTAACCTAATTTCCTTCTTTGAATTGGGATTAGGTTTGAAGAACAATCTATGTTCTTAAAAATTTTAGCTTCCTTGTACCATCTTATGTTTTGTGGCAAGCAATGTTGTGTTTTGTTTTGAAGCAATAATATTATTGCTTCATCTTGCACTAGACAATTTTGATGCTTTAGATGCTGAGTGCTGCTTCATGATAAGAAACTTGCTTTATGTCTTTCTCTGTTCATTGCACTAGTGTAAACTTCTAAAGTAGGATCTAGGTAATAACATGTAAGTACCCACTTTAATATGGAAGGACTGGAAAGCATGTTATCTCCTCTAAGGAGCAGATAACTTTGGGTTTTCCAAGTTTGGAGGAGACTGAGGGGTGCCTCTATTGTCTGCAGCTTCCTGAGCAGAGGAAGTGGAGAAGGAGGTGCTGAGCTACTCTTTCTGGCAGCTAGTGATGGAATGTGTGGGATGGGTTCACCGGACTTGACATGTGGCATCATTTCTTTACCAAAAGGGTGGTCAAGCATTAAAGCAACCTTCCTAGAAATTCAATTATGTCCCAAATCTATCAGCATTCAAGAGGCATTTCGTCATTGCCCTTAATAACATGTTTTAGCTTTTGGTCAGATCTAAAGTGCTGAGGCATGTGGACTAGATAATTGTTGTATGTTCCTTCCAACTGAATTATTCTATTCCATGAAGATAACATTTCCCTAGAATATTTGTTTTGCACTCCTGATTTTTTGTTATTTCAGCTTTTGACTGCATTTGAACACGCGCTGCATTCTGCTGACACTGTTCCTGGTGAAGACCACCAAAATCTTTACAAAGACTTCATACAGTGCTTGTCTAAAGTAAGGTTATGTTAAAGCATCTTTCTAGTAAGAAAATAGATCTGTTATTTCACATCTGAGAACTCACATAAATAACTGTTCACTCTTTTTTCCTTTCTAGTTTCCTCATGAAGTCACTAGGTTGGAAAAGGCTTGTGATGATATGATGGCTTTGTACCCTTCTATGACTTACCCTTTGGAAATACTTTGCTTGCACTTTGTTCAGTCAGGTGAGTATGATGGATTTAGGCATTTTGAGGGCTGAAATTTTTTAAATAGTTGATTTTGTGACAAACTGTTTGCAAGTTTTTACCTTTCACAAGGACTGTACAAGTACTTTCTTTACTTCTGTGTTATGTTTCTGAAAATAAAGTGTTTGGTCCTATGACTTGTCATTTCCTTGCCCTGTAACTGAGTAGTGACTGTAAGTGACAAAAACTACTGTAAGGGATGTCCAGCTCTTTGAAGTTTCAAAGAAAAATGCCTCACTTGAAAGCAGCCTCTCTGGATAAATGAATATTAGCTTCTTGACCTTTTGAGAAAAAGTGAAAGAGTGTTAGCCAGTGCTCTGATGTTCACGATGAGCTATGCTGAGGTTATTCTTGACACATATTCTCTTCCATCACAAAAAAACCCCACAAAAACCCAAAACAAACAAACAAAAAAAACCCAAAACAAAACAAAAACAAACAAAAAACCCACAAACAAATAACCCCCAGATAAGCATTTGTGCAACTATGTTAGAGATTGTGCCTTGTGAGTAGGGAATAACAGATCTGTTTAGATATATATTCTGAGTAGAAAAGGAGACTCTTTGAGGGGAAAAAGACAAAACCTGGTGTGTTCAGAAGTGCAGGGATCTGAAACTATGCATTACTATTTTTTAGTCATTTATTGAACAACATTGCAATATCGTTGGACACTTTCTCATAATTTTCAAAGGTAATTATTAGAATTTAGCTTTTTGTTTTGTTATTTAAGTCATCAGAAGTTATTTTATTTCTTTTTAAAGCAAGGAGACCAAGTCAGAAAAAAAAAACCTCTAGAAATAACTTTCATCTTAGGTAGAAAAAGGGGTTTTCCTGTTTTGAAGAAATGGAATATGATAGCAAAATACAGCAAGTGAGAATTTTTCACTTTGTTTTGGAAGCATGAAGACAAATGAGGCCCAGACTCACAATTTGTAAAGTATTTGAAAATGCTTTACATTTTGGAGAAATGGGCAGAAACTAGTTTTCAAAAGAAAAGATTAGTGCAGTTCTTGTATACTAGCACTCTGGCAATATCTCATTGTCCCACAAGCTTCTTGGAGGGGAAGGATGCTGCTGGTGTTTTAGAAAGGCTGTTTGTTTAGGTCTGAGTCATGTTTTAATCCTTCATGTCCTGCACTTCTCACAGGCTTGTTAATTTAAGTGCATTGTAAAGTCACCTTTAGCAAATGCAGATGAAATCAACTGTTATGCCACATAAATCAGTAATTCCTTGAAGAAAATAATAGCTTGAAGGTTGTTGCAACAAGTCACAAAGTTCCTGTCAGTATTGCCAAGTCTACAATCACAGCTAAATGCAGGCATCAGAAGTTAGTGGCGTCAGTTAAAATTAAGCTAAAACATTAAATGATATTTACATGAAATGAAATTTATATTAAATGAAATTACCTTTCACAGCAAGGTAATTTCAAAAAGCTTATCACAGCAAATTAGCAGGTACACAATGTCTCTTCTGGAAGGAAATTTTATTGATTTATTTGTGACAGATTTTGGCATGTGCACTTTCAGCTGAACTTACATGAAAAGCATATTATTATTTAACAATATTTAATATTATTATGTTAATTATTTATTAATAAAGGGAGTATACCTGGAGTAATTTAGCCAAAGTGATTATTCAGGTTTCAGACTCTCAGTTTATTTTGTGGACGCAGTACTGAGTATTTAGGTTACTTCTTGGGTTTTGGTTCTTTTATGGGATAGGGGATGGTAAGTGTGTAGAGCCTTTGGAAAATCACTTTGAACTCAAAAGGATAATGATCATTTATATGGATAAGGTAAGCTGTTGCAGTTATTCTTTTAATCTAAAACCCTACAAAACGTGTCTTTTTCTGAAACCAGGTACTTTGCCGGAAAAGGCCCTGCACTGTTTCTCTAAACTTTTGGAGATGGATGCAAGCAGTGGTCCAGGCATCATTGGTTTTGGTATAAAATGCCTCAAAGAAAATAAATACAAGGAGGCTGTTAAGAGTCTTACTGAAGGTAAATGTATAATATGAGATGTGAGTAGTCTGTAACTTGAACACTAGATTATGTTGAAAATTTAGGGAATCTTATACTTTCATAGTAGTTTGAAAATTCTAAGACCAGCTGGATTTTAAAAGAATGCTGAACACTTCATCTGATTTTGTTGAAATGTTTGATATATAGCTTTAAGTATAGCATCTCTAAAGCCTTTCATTTGTGTTATAGTAAGCTCTGTAATGTTTTAAGGTAAACTGTTTTTAATCCTACTGTTATTGGGAAAATAATTATATGAAACGCTAACTGGAACAATAGCAGTAAATGAAGGAATGTGAAATTTATGAAGTAAAATGTAATGCAACCTCTCTAGTAGAGTCACTGCATTTCTCTGCCTGAGCAAAGATGACTTTTCTCTGAAGTTACTTCATTTTCAGTTGGGTAAAGACTCACGCTGAGTATTTAGAGAGAAATATTGTAAGAGTTTTTTCTGTTTTGTTGTTCTGCAGTAACTATATTTGCTGAAGACTTGGCTTACTCATCTGTAACTTAACTTGCTTGTATTGAAATGGCAAAACTCTTTCTAAAATACTCATTAAGTATACTAGTGGAAAAATGAGACTGCCCACCCTCACTAGCTGCTGTGGCAGCTAACAGTGGAAACTGGGTAAATAATTGGGATGTAAGCATTCATGAGTCAGTCAGACTATGCTGTGATGTCCTGCATCCATTCTTCTAGATTTAGAATAAGATTGTTTCTGAAATTTAATTTTGGAATATTCTACAGTGAAACAACATCTTGCCTAAAATATGAAATAAAAGTTTCATGTGCCTAAGAGCGCATGAAGAGGAAAAGGTATTCCTTGGAAAACAAATTATTCTGGCTTAAATGACCATGTTTTGAAAAAGATAGTATTCTATTTTAATTAATATTAAGTTGTTTTTCTGTTTTTACTTTTACACATAGACTTTGCTTACAGCAGAGGGAATGCAAAGAGAAGGCTCTTGGTATAATGTGTAAATGTAGAGAGTTTGAAAATCATCTTTTCCAACGAGCCATGTGTTTGTACCTTAGGTGTTGAGGCTTCCAGGGATTACTTGGTAATTATACATCAGAAGACAGAAATTCAGTTTTATTAGTGAGTCTTAATTAAGGCAGATTCATCAGAAAGTTTCAGTATATGTAATGTTATATGCAAAATTAAGCCTAACTTACATGCTTTCTGCTTTTTGCCTTGTTGCATGGAGGCTTCTGTGTCCAAAACAGTCTAAAATAAGACTCAGAAAAAATTATGGCAAGTCTTAACTATCTGATTGATAATATGTTTTTGATGGCATTATATGGAAATAATATGTATCTACTTGCTACGGTGTTTTTGCAACTCTAAGCAATTTTTTAAAGTGTCTTTTTTAAACTCTTACTAGGTTTGCAGAAGACTAAGCAGTGTCCAGCTGCATGGTATTATCTAGCAGAGGCACAGATGAAGATCCATGAACACAGGAATGCTGTCCTGTCCTGCAATCAAGGTAACTGCCTGCTACTTTAAAGAGCAGTTCCAGTGCTGCACTGCTTTATGTAGTCCAGCCAGCGTGGCCTTGGTATGGTAGGTCTGAGTTAGCAGTAGTCACAGTCCCTTGCTTCTTGCAGTCTCAAGCTGGTGCTGTCTCTCTTGGTTTATGAGAGCTGAAAAGCACTTTATGGTGCTTAGTCTCAGGAACAGAGAAAATACTTGGCTAAGTGGATCCAGAAAGCTGTCTGATGGTTAATATTTGGAAGGTTTACGTTTTCTGCTGTGCTGCTTCTGCTGGTGGTTGACTAATGCTGGCAAATGACAGATTGCCTGAAACCACAAGGTAGGTGTCACAAATATTTAGCCTGGCAGATAATCATGGTTTAACGTGAAAAACAAATTTTTAATCAAATTGAGGTAAAACACAGAAAGGATGTGTAGTATAGCTGGATCTGAAGAAACTCACTGAGTGTAAAACTTCATCTGTGCTAGCTGGCAGTAAGGGCAATTATTGCCATCTAGGATGCATATCTCAGCTGAACAGGGCCACTCTCTGTGATTATAAATGAAGGGGCAGCTGAAGTGGACTTCTTTTGTGGCAGGGAGAAATGCAGTGAAAAGTTTTTAAGAAAGACTGGAAGAAGTAAAAGAAGCCATCAGACCTGGCCAAACAATTATGGGAAATCAAGCAAAAGTAGTTACTGGTAAGGGGAATTCAAAAGACCTGTGAACTTGGGTGGAGGAAAAATGAAAGCGGAACAAAATAGGTAAAAAAGAAATTTATTAGAATGAAAATAAGGAAGTTCTTTTCCCATCTGTGTTCAGTGTGGAAGATCTCAGGGTGACTTTGTACTGTGACTCTTCTTTTCAGCAGATTGATCTAACAACTTGTCTATGATTACAGTGTTAACAAGGGCATGTCTAAAACAAGACAAGGAAACATAGCATTAAGGAACTATGAGTTACCAACTTAGGAATTGACTGAGATGAAAATACTGAAGTTTTAAGGGGTTCCATAATTGATTACTGAAACTGTCTTGGCACCCAAATACTTGAAAGTAGGTGACGTGGCTCTGAATTTTAAAAAGGAAAGTTGAGGGAAAACACTGACAGGTCTGGTATATTTAGTGGTTGAAACAGTGTAAACTGAAACAGTAGAGTTAAAGAATTTATGTAGAAAAATGTTTTGGGGTAGACAGCAACTTTTGAGAGTTGCTAATTTAGAACTCCTTCAAGGAGCTTATGAGCTCATAAATAAAGGAGGTTTCCAGGTGGTAATTGGTAATATCCCATACTTGACTGTTAGTAGCCTTGGGTTAAGAAGCAAAGCTGTAACTTTGGGTTTTTTCTTGTAAGTTAAAAGGTAGAGCGCAGTATAGTAATTATGTCTGTTTTCAGGCTGGAAGGAGGTATCCCTGACATTTTCCCTGACACCTGTGCTGTTTATGAATGCTGAGTAATAGGGTTACAGTTTGCTGCTATGTAAAGTAGACTGCAAAACCTTGAGATGTTTACCAGAGTGCATAACTGAGTCTCAAGACTATAGAATTTTATTCATTATTTTAAATGCAGAATAATAGAGTTGTGGGAAGAAGTGTTCTCACAAAGCTACCCTACACTCTCACTGAAGAAAAGTGCAGAAGGTCTTCATTCGGTATGAAAAAGTAGGACTGTTTCTTTCGCCTGGTGTGCTTTACAGGCAAGTCAAATATTAGCAATTTCAGAGAAGGGAATGGTTAGTGAAACATACCATCAACACACAGTAGCTTTAAGAACTTCAGCAGCTTAATAAAATCCCTGTGTAGTTTTGGTAACTATCTACTCCATCTCAAAAAGAAAATAAGAGTAGGAGTTAATAGACTAGAAGTGAGGTTGGTCACGTGGGCTAGAAACGGCACCATATGAGAACAAGTAAATAATCTGTCAAGTCCTTTTGTAGCCTGGAGAAGAGATAATTTTGAACTCTGTGAAGATACAAATTATGTGGAATATAAATAAAAATTGAGTGTTTTGTTTTCGTCTGTGAGGTCTGGCTAGTGCCAAATGCAGCTAAAATGTCAAGCTCAGAGCAAACAAAACAAGTTTTGTTTTTCAATGCAAAAAGTTAAGTTCCTTGCTGAAAGGTGCTCTTGATGCAGAAATTTCTCTTGAGTCCAAAACATGTCGAAAGTCAGAGATAATTTTGGGAAAACGTTGCTTTTTACTTGTCCTGTCTTAGTGACTGTATCAAATGAGACAACAGCTCATTGTACATGAAAATAAATACACTTGAGTTACACAGGAAGTTTATGCCTTTGGAGATGCTCAACAGAGAGGCCTTCCATCTCTGAAGTGAGATGATACTATGTATTCAAAAAGTAATTGGAATTCTGTGAAGGGTTACTTTGTAACTTTTACAGGCATCAAGGTAAATCCCTGTTTTCAGTGGTATTCTTTCATTTGAGCACTGAAATGGGGAACAATTTGTCTGTTGAAAGGTCATTTTTTCCTTAGAACTCTAATGAGCAAAATTATAGCACCTAATTTTTAAAGCCAGCAGCTAAAAAGCAATCAGTATACATACATCTGAGATGACTTCCTAGAATGGACTTAATTGTTAAACTTGAATGGATAAAAATTTTACAGGACAATTTGTTATTTATGGGGGAGAGCAGTCTGAATGGTGTTCTATTAGGCAGAAAAAATGTAGTTAACAAGGTTTTAGAAATATTTGGAAGAATGCTGCTCTGTGTACTTCTTCTTTTCTCATTTAACTTGATGAAAGGTTCTTCTTGTCAACAGCTCTTGAGGCTCTTGGAACTCCTGAGGGTCCTAATCTTCGGTGGAAGAACCTTGTCTTTCAGTTGAAAGCAGAGACTTTGATTAAAATAGCTGATGCTGATGCTGCAGAAGAAGCCATTAAAGCACTTGAGCAGGTATTTTTATTGACTATAATGTTTGGGGTTTTTTTAATATTACAAGGTGCCCTTATCTTTCTGTACTTAAGGTACCTGGCCTCCTTTCAACTTTGTGGTTTAGACCATTCCTGCCAGCTGTCATGTAATTCAGACATGTCTTCCATTCCTGCTTTTCCAGGCTTTGCTGCAGCTCTTTTTCATTTGCAGTTTTAATTTTGGAAGCTGTCACTTTTGACTTTGCCTGGTCTTGCTCACTGTTGCTGGTTTTGTGCTGTTACCCATCTTAATTTGAATTCATGTTATCTCCCTAGTTCTTGCTAGTTCTGTGCTGTTACTCATCTTAATTGGAATTCATGTTATAATCTCCCATGTCCATCATTCCCTTGTGATTAGTCATGAAGAAAAACACATTACTTTAAGATTGAATGGTTAAGCTTTGCCAGAAGTTGCTTTCCCCTGTTTTTGTCACACAGTTTCATTCTTTGTTGTTCTTCATATTTCTGTACCTTTGTCCTTACAATCTTCTACTTGCTCTTCATCAGAATTGTCCTAAATTTTCTCAGGGATAATAGAGAAAACTTCTAAATGCTTTCTTATCTTTATCTTCAGGCAGTCTGTCTGCTTTTAACAACTTTGACTTCTTAATGTGGGGAGATAATAAATTAATTGTGTTTATTATTTGGTGTTCTAGATTGTAGATGGAACCAGTGATCCAGTGATTTCAGCTCTCAGGGGTCAGGCTTATCTGAACAAAGGTTTAATGGATCAGGCTTCAAAGGTTAGTGATTTTTGTCATTCCTGTGAGCTAAGTACAGTTCTTGGTTTCATAGAGGAAGTAACTAGAGAAAAATGATATCCTTTTGCAGGTTTCACAAGAGCTTCTCTTGTCCCACCCTGATCTGGCTGAGGCCCATGCTCTAGAGGGTTTCATCCATTATTCCCAAAAGAACTATGAACAGGCAGAAAAAAGGTAGACTTTTGTTTTCTTTCCTCTAACGGGGAAGTGTTACGGGATAGTAAAATGTCGTGTTTTGCAGCTTTTGGGAATTTGTCTGACATGACCTGTTTTCATTTTATTTAGTTTTCTACATGCTATTGAAAGAAAGGCTGGAATTGCAGAGTATCATCAGTACCTGGGGCTCACATACTGGTTCATGAGTGATGAGACAAGAAAAGACAAAGGAAAAGCACTCACTCAGTTCTTGAAGGTAAAGACTCCTTTAACTGTTGATGTAGAATTAGTGTTTTCCTACATCAGAAGCCAAATATGAAAAATATACTGACAGGAATGAGAAACTTGAATATTCTCCTTTGTACAATGTATGAGCCTCCAGAGCCTGCAAACTAGGTTCTGCTGTGCAAAAAGGCATTGCAGGGAGCTGTGCAGTTACCTTGAATCTCTCCACTTCTGTTTTCCTCTTTTCAACTAATTCTTTAGGCCTTTGAATTGGCAAAACTTAGTGGTGATTCCCTCAACCTTTTCTCCTTCAGGAAAGTGGAGGCCTCTGAACAAGCAGCAAATGTCTTTGAAAACCTTCTGAAAGGGGGAGGGCAGAATTCAAATTGAAAAAACATGAAGGAAGAAAAGTTGAGAATGGTGTTAGGGTTTCATTGTCTGTCCAAGGATGTAAGTTTGTAAAGCCCCATAATTTATATGCTTTTCCTGATCTTTGGGATATTAGTAATTGTGGCTTTTTCACTGAATAACATGAATCCAAAAGCTTTAGTTTGACATCTGTGTTAGTAACTTGAAAGTGTACAAAATAGAACTTTAGGCACTGTGAACTCATCATGTAACTTCATGATAGGTATTGATAACTCAAATCATTACCTGCTGCTTGCACTTTAATAAACAGCTGAGTATAGTGGCAAATGTAGTTGAACAGTTCTTTTGGTTCTAAACCATTATATGCAATCTTTATTATTATGGACAAAGCTGTTTTCTGCTGCTTGAAGGCTGTCAGTTTCTTAACTATAAGCAAATCTGCTAAATGCATCTAAGAAGGAACTGAAACTTTAGACATGGCTGGAGTTAATTCTGGGGTTATATGGTAAGAGTATGAACATAATGATTGAAACAGAACAGAAGATGAAATAAAGATTTACTTTCTCCTAGCACAACTATTTTAATACTTTGAGTACAAAATGTTTTGTGTCATGGGATTTGCAGCAGATTTTCCAGATATTTAAAGCTCAGGTAATCTGTGCAATTTTATAATTAAGTTTGGCAGCTCAAATATATCACAGTAGGGGCTTAAAAATATGATAAGCAGAGGCTGAACAAGTAGCTGTCACTGAACCTGTCTATGAGTATAATCCTTTAGAATGCTGTCTGATAGTGTGTTGGTATTTCCTTATAGGCTGCAAAATTGGACAGCTACTTGGGAAGTGCCTTTTGTTATCTAGGTAACTACTACAGAGACATTGCTGGAGACAAAAGCAGAGCTCGTGGTTGCTATAAAAAGGCTTTTGAACTGGATGAGGCGGATGAAGAATCTGGAACAGCGGCTGTCAATTTAAGTGTGGAACTTGGAGACATGGTATTGTACATTCAGAATGTCAGATTACTGCTGCTTTGTTGTTCTTCTATTAATCCTTCTGTTTAAAGAATCACTTCAGGTTTCCTCTATATTTAAGATCAGAAAACAAATGTTCTGTCATTGCTTAGCAGCTTTTATAGTTGGACTTGCTTCAATTTTATGTTCCAATTCCAAATTAAATTTGTCTTAGGAGAAGGGTGGGAAAACCAAGTATTACATTAGGGTTATCACGTGTGATATAGATGAAGCATTTTTTTCAGTAGGGGGCATAAGGAGAAAGTTGGGGATTTTCTTTATTTAGCTTGTGTAACTTCTTTTTTCCATCTTTCACCTTGCTGCTTCAGAAAGTTATAAGAATATTTTTAAGTGGTTTTTGTTTACTAACTTGGCATTTATTGCTTTGTTAGGACACTGCTTTGTCAATCCTGAATGAGGTAACTGAAAAAGCGAGACCTGGTACAGCAAAATGGGCCTGGCTTCATCGTGGACTTTACTACCTGAGAACTGGTCAGCCGTCACAAGCAGTGGCTGAGTAAGACAACTGGTGGTTGGTTTAAGTCCTTTTCTGCCAATCCCAATAAAATAGTCTTTGCTCATAGCAAGTTTTCAAATGGAGTTAGGTGATTATAATTTGTACATAACAAAGGGAAATGGGTCTGAGTGAATCTCTCTTCAGTTCTAGAATTCACAAAATGTAGTCTTGTTAACATAGCAGTATTTTGTACTAACAAGCCTTGTGACAGGCACAGACAAGCTGCTATAGCACTGAATAGCCAGGGTGAGATACAATTCCTAAAATTGTGTAATGTCCTCTGAAGATGAAAAACCTACCATGCTTTGTTTAAAAGTTCCATGTAATTGTGAATTTGTGTCCTGAAGAGTATATAATGCAAAATTAGTGTCCTGAGCATATACAATGAAAGGAAATAATTATGTTGAATTGTATTATATTTCATTTAAATAAATGTGTGTCTTGATATCTTCAGTTTGCAGGCAGCTCTCAGGGCTGATCCAAAGGATTCCAACTGCTGGGAGTCTCTAGGGGAGGCTTACTTCAACAGAGGTAGCTACTCAACAGCTCTGAAATCCTTCAGGAAAGCAAGTGAGCTGAACCCAGGGCTTGTGTACAGCATTTACAGAGCTGCAGCACTTGAGCAGATTCTAGGCAAATACGAAAATGCTATAGCTACCTATCAACAAATATTAAAGAAGACAGAAAACTATGTGCCTGCACTGAAAGGTATCATGTCTGAATTTGAAAGTGTTCACTTTTCCTCCCTTTACGCACTGTAGTGTTTCAGTCTTTTGGAGGAATTTTTGATGTATTGAGGTTTTCTTGTGGTGTGTTGAGGTTTTCTTGTGTGGAAGCATAGAGCTGTATTTTGGGTATGTAGGGCCATGATGTCTCTCACATGAAAGTTGATTTGTAGTATTACAAATTCCTGAAAAACTCTTACATTATGATGAATGTGGGTGATTATTTCTCTTTCAAGTAAGTATGAAAGGTAGTTAATTCTATGTGGCTACCAGGCCAAATGAATAGGAGAACTGAAGAGACACAGAGGAAGCCCACTAACAGGACTGCAGTTTTACCTAAGCAGTAAAATACTTGCTCAACAGGCAATGAAATCAGACTGCAATTTCAAAGAGGTGGGCTGATTTCCTTCTGCTCCTGACCATGCATTCCTCACTTCATGTGTTAGTCTAGTGATTCAGACCCCTCTGAACTTTTTCAAGTGGTGAAAAAGAGCAGTGAATCCCAAGAAATCTCACAAGCATTACAGGTGGCAGGGGTAGAGACCTTCAGGATACAGGTAGAAGTAGAGAGAAATGGAGCAATTGGAACTTCTTCATTATGGAACTGTGATTCTGAAGTTATATAATTCAGGGAGTGTATAAAATTTTGATAAAAATGAATAATTGCTCTGTTTGCATTCTCTCTGCCACTTAGTTTTCAATCATTCTCGTCCCATATACCAATCTGAAGCAGGTGCTACTTGATGCTAGTTTGAATTTGTAATTATTTTTTTCATTGTATGTAAGGCCTTCTGGTTTCTGGGTGAATCTAAACTGATTCTTGGAAGAGTTAATTCAGAAATATTGAGTTATTATTACAACAGTGGGCTTTTAATCTGAAAAAGTTACAGTGTGGTTGACTTATCTACCTCCTCCTCTATAACTCCACTAGCTTTTTCAAGACCAACGTGACATGGTAAAAAGCTCCATAATGGAGTTGGAATGTATTGCATTCAGGCAGTTTTACTAGTTGTTGGGCAAGAAGGGAAGAGCTGACTGTAGCAGCAGTTTGCAAAGATGCTGTATGTACATATGCATATGGTTTTTTCAGTCTCAGTAGGTAGCAGTTGACAGTGTTACTAGTACTAAAATGCTTTGAGTACTTAAGTACATGGTATCAAGATTCCTCCCCATAGTTGCCTTTATGCTGATTTCTTACACCTCCTGAGTCTTCTTTCATAAAGGCTCACATTGTAATCTCTGGTCTGTTAGCTGTAAATCCTTTTAAGTCTCCAAACAGCCTTCACTTTCTTTGAGACTTCTTATGATGTTTGGACCAATGTTGTAAATTTTGTGGACCTTCTTAAAACATTCTGAAGTTCTTTGACTGTCCCATCAGTGTTTATTTTCAACTGTTCTGATCCATTTGAACAGTTTCTGAGTTGAGCTGTTGGAAACATAGTCTCTGGTAGTTGAGTCAATAACTTTACTGCTGTTACTTCACTGCATCTTTTCAATGTGTTTTGATTTTGTGCTACTGAATACTTATTCTGCCTCTATTCTAGCGTATCTTTCATATAATTTTGGGGAATAAAATCAATTTTGTTTTTTGATCTTGACATCTGATAAGCTTATGATCTTGGTCTTCTGGGGAGCCAAGATAAAGACTCTTGTAAAACTCTATTTTGGTATAGGTGGAGGATTACAATAGCATGAGGGGGGTAGCTTCAGAACTGTCAAAATAATCTGAGAATGAATGGTACTCATATCCAATGATTTACGGCTGGACAGAATCACTGCTAGTGCCAGCAAATGTGTAAACCAAGCAGTTACTATTTCCAAAATGTTAGAAATTTTAACCTATGATGCAGTTCCTTTTTCATAGTGGGAATTATTTCCAGTTGCAGTGGTTTGACCCTGTCTAGGCATCAGCTGCCCACCAAGCTACTCTGTCACTCCCCTTCTCAGCAGGATGTGAACAAAAGACAAAATAAGATTGAAGAAATTCATAGGTCAAGATAAATGTGGTTTAATAAAGCAAATGCAGAGGCCACGTGAAGAAGCAAATGAAAACAAAATTTATTCTCAACTTTCTATGAATAGGTGATGTCCAGCTACTTCTCATGAAGTAGGACTTCAGTCTGCCTAGTCATTGCTTCAGAAAACAAATGTGATAACAAGTGCCCCCCCCCGCAATCTCTTCCACATTTATCTCAGCTTTTATGCTGAACAGATAAGAATGTGGTATGGAATATCCCTCTGATCAGTTTAGGTCAGCTGTCCTGGCTATGTCTCCTCTCAGGATTCTGACTATCCCCAGCCTAATCCTAATGCTGAAGGAGTGAATTTTGTATAGACTGCCTGGATGCTGTTCCAAACACTGTTCAGCAGCAGCCAAAACACTGGTTCCTTATCAGCACCTTTCCAGCTACCAGTACATAGCACAGCACTATGAGGGTTCCTATAGGACAAGTTAACTCCATCTCAGCCAGATTCAATACACCATATGAAGTAAATTCATATATAAATAGAATTAAATAATGCTGGCTTCAGGTTTTCTTCATTGAAGACTTTCCTTTTTGCCTACCCTGTCATTCTTTACTCCTTTTGCTTCTCAGGATTGATTTTTTCACGCATGTAAACTGCAAATTGGTGTATTTGTCAAAGGTGTAACAATGCAGATTTCTCAGATTTACTTAATATTTGAAGATAAATGCAAAGTTTAAATGCTATTTTTTAAATAATGAATTTGGTTTATTTTAATAGCCAAATGATCCTACAGTTCACACTTCACAAGATAGATGAAAAGCAGTCTTTGTTGGGAGCATTGTGGGTGTTTTGATTTTGTTACAGTGTATGCAGGGTATAGACTTTTGCACAAGGCAGAAATGCTGACCTGGCTTCCAGGCTCTTTCCCCACTGTACTTTTAGCCATATCATAAAAGCATTTATTTTCACAGAGAATATTTTCTCTTACTTTCAGGACTTGGTGAGTGTTATCTCATGCTGGCAAGATCAGCCCTTGATAACTATTTCGATAGGAAGGCTGTGGATTACATAGAGCAGGCCCTTGCATATTTTACAAGGTTGGTACTAAACATTCACTTACTTAATTTCTGCTGTGATTGTGGGTTGACAGGCAGAAAAAGAAGAGTTAAATTTTTAAATTTATTTAAAAATAAGAGTTTGAAAATTTTCAGTTAGACTGAATCAAATGGACTAGAACTTCTAATCTAGAAGTAAGAATGTGTTTATTAAAAATGGTTTGAGTAACCATTACAGATTCTAAACATAGGCTGCTTAAATGAATGGCAATTACAGAGTTTTATGTTTTTCTTTTCAAATATAGAGAGTCATTTGAAAATGTGTGAAGTGACACAGAGTTCTCTTGTGTAGTTCTGCTGATATATGGATCTGGGAGGAGTGTATTCCTACAAAAATAATGGATAAGAGGAAAATAATTCCTTCCTCCTCTCTGTCTTTTTGTTTTGAATTTCATATAAGATGTACTAAATTAAACCTTGGAATAACTGCTGTTAGAGGAGAAAGTCCATCAAGTTTCTGCAGATGAGTAGTTCTTTTAATATGACAAATGCAAGAGTGCATGTAGTCAGCTGACATGTTGGGGTGTTTTTTGTTTGGTTGCTTTTTATTGTTATTTCTTTTCAAATTTTGATCTTTTAGACTTGTAACTTGAATAGGAAGAAACTGAATTAAATCAAACACCTTACTGATTAATTGCATTTGAGGTTGTGCTGCTATTCAAAGTGTCACTTTTATTCAGAAAAGGATGTTGAAGTATCTGAGTAGGTGTTACATGTGTTTTCTTTATAATTGTAGGGCAGTAAAGCACCGTCCTGATGTATCTTGCCTCTGGAAACTGTTAGGAGATACCTGTACTAGTGTACATGTTATTTCACCAGCCAAAGTGAATGTTCAAGTACTAGGATCCCTTCTGAGTAAAAATGCAACCAAACAGGTGCTGACGAAAAATGAGCTTCTCATACTGGGAGGAAGGTAATATTCTTTTATTAAGAAGCCTCTCTGCTGTTTAAGACTCCCTAGAGTATCAAGTATTCTAGACTAGTTAATTTGTAGAAAATGGAAGACATGCTGATCACTTGATACCTGCATATTGGGTAAATGGATTCTCATGATTCTTCCAAATTACACTACTTATTTCAGGGTATGTTTCCTGTATTGCCACAGTGCTGTCAGCACCTGCTCTTCTCCTTTCTGTCTCCAGGTGCATGACTACATTCTCCCTGCTGTTCCACAAATCACATCTGTTTAAATGAAGTGGTTGTGGTATTTGCTGACTAATTCTCCCAGGACAATGGAAGTCTAAGATAATACTTTCAGCTTTCTGTCTGTGCCTCTTTCTTGTAAAATATTTCTTGTGACAAATTTGCTGTTCTGTGACTCCCTCTGAAATTTTTTCAGCTGGATCTGTAAGGCAGGAAATGCATCTGCTTGGTGAATCTCAACCATGATCTCTAAAGTCCAGTACTTCCTAGGAGAAGCCTGAGGAACTGTAAAAATGATTGATGTTTGTTTTAAGTAAACACATGCATAATGTAACTGACAGAGCTTTGATTTAATGCACACCTACATAACCACACCTGTGGTTTCATTAGTGGTGAGCACTACAGATTACCATTAGACCAGATTCAGACACACAGTAAGTCTCTGAATGAAAATATATTAGTTGGGTTTTTTTGCTTTAAGTTCTTGTCTGGTTTTGTTTGTATTTATGCATGTTTACTTCGTTTAGGTTTCTAAGCACTCTTCTGAAGCTTTGTCAGCTTTCTGCTCTTCATGCAGAGACTCAGAATAATGATTCTATGATTCATGTTTCTGTAGGTGTTATGGCAGAGCTTTAAAACTGATGTCTTTGCCGAGCATATGGTGTGATCTTGGAATAAATTATTATCGCCAAGCAGAGCACCTCACAGCAGTGGGCACTGACATGAATGAGATCAGTGAACTGTTAGAGAAGTCTTTGCAGGTATTGCCTATATTTCCTAGTACATTCTTTAAACTGCTGTTCATGCTTCTCTGCATATTCTCCCTGTACACAGTAAAACCTACATCTCTGAATAAGTAAGTGCATAACCTCATAATTTTTGCTCTCCTAATCATTATAATCCACATTTCATTTTCTTCCAGTGTCTCAAAAAAGCTGTGAGACTTGACAGCAAAAATCATCTTTATTGGAATGCACTTGGTGTAGTTGCTTCTTGTAGTGGTAAGTCTTCAGTGACAGCCCTAGATCTCTAACATCCTAAGTTAGAAGGAGGCTTGACTAATGGTGTTTTGAAATTCAGTTACATCGAGGTCTCCATTTTTTTTCTTCCCCCAGCTATTGGGAATTATGCTCTTGCACAACATTCGTTCATCAAATCTGTTCAAGCTGAGCAAATTGTAAGTGCTGTAGGCAGCTGCCATCTGTTTCAAGTGGGCATTTAAGACATTTCCCCTGATGCACTGCTATTTCTGAGGAGTGTAATAATATATTGGTTTTAACTTTATTTGTTTTGTTTAGAATGTTGTTGCCTGGACCAACTTGGGGGTTTTATATCTGGCAACTGGACACATTGAGGTAATCTATTTCCCATCCTCAAGTATAGTTTTCCTTTCTGCTTTTTTTTAAGGGTGTATATATGGGAATGGGAGTGTCAGTTTCAAATGTCCCTTTGAAATTCAAAAAATATACATCCTTCAAAAGAAATTAGATTGGCACTTGAGAAATGCAGATAAATTACAAATTTGTTCTGGAGGGGCTAAGATTAGGTGAATTGTGAACTTCTGCTGAATTGGCAAAACTGCTTTCCAACAGCTGTAATGAGAACTTTATGGAAGGACAGAGAAGTGGTTAGTCAAATCAAGGCATGCCAGGTTTGGCCAAGAACTTCTAGTTGTAGGTCATGGACTGAACTCCCAGTGTTTGAGTTCCCATAGATACCTACTTTCTGTTCATCAGCAAATGTATGATTTACTGTAACACTCTAATTTTCAGAGTTTCTCTGGAGAAAAATTTGAGTGCATATTAAGTGAAGTCTGGAGCTCTCATGCAGTTAAAGTACATCCTGTCCTATTTGCTCGTTGAAATTACAGAAATCTTGTTTGATTGGAAATGTGATGGTCAAAATTATTTTTAAGAAAAATAACCTGATAGTACAGACTACTTACTGCTACGACTGCTAATGCTAAGACTTGGTTCCCCTTGTGCCAAATTGAGGGAGGAACTCTTAAGCATGTGTAGGCCATAAGGAAATGACTTGTGGATGATAATCAGTTTTATCCTTTTGAAAATACGTTTGTGTTATAAAAAAGTGAATTTTCAAAACTGGATCTTCCTAGAGTCAGATTTTTAAATTGTTCATTTAGCTTCTGAATTCTCTAGCTGGGAAGGAAGCATATTTAGAAGGGAGGGAAACTTTGATATTGTGAAGTTTTCTAATTTTTTTTTTGTTTTCTGATTTTTTTTTGTTTGTTTTTTTTTTTTTTGTTTTGTTTTGTTTTCTTTAAGACTAAACTGGTTTATTTCTCTGGGCAATGCGTTGTTCTCTGCGGAACAGAAGGTGTTTTTAGTAGTGACCTAATTCAGTCCATTAAGTCTCTTCTAATACTATTGCATGTTAATACTTGTGTGTTGTCAGAAGTGCTCTGTTACCATACCAGACAGTTCAACAGCAGTGTTTTATTTGGTTCTACAGCAAGCTCATGAAGCCTTCAAGGTAGCCCAGTCTCTGGAACCTTCTTACCTCTTGTGTTGGATTGGACAGGTATGATGAAAAATTATGAAACTGCACACAAAAACATTTGTTGAAGAACCTTAACTTCAGCCTAGTAACTGGCACTAATTCATGCTCCTAAAATTGTGTTTACGAGTGCTTCTACTTCCTTTGTTTCCATAGTGGTAATACAATGGAAGCTACTGTGCTCATCAGACACACTCATATGATGTTTTTCTGGCTGATATTGTGAGTTCTCTAACAAGCTATTAACCAAACAATCACTATGCTCTGAGGCTTTTTATATACAGCTATCCACAGAGCACTGTCTTTATAAGGTGATAGTTATTTCAGCTTCAGCTGTACCACTAGTTCATTAAATGGCACGACTCCACTCTCATCTCAGTTCCCCGTTTCTAATGCCACTGTCAGAATAAGTAAGCTTCTAATGTACCTGGGACAAAGCACTTCTTATTTTCTGGGAAGTCCCTTCCTCCCCTGCCACTGATAGCTCACATGCTCCTTCTGATATCTAGGTCATTTGTGAATAGTTGAGATACTTGTGGCTATTATGATTGTTATAGGTGAATTTCATAATGCCATGCTGCTCACCTGCTAATCATAGCTAATTGAAAACTGGATTCTAGAAAAGAACTAGCATCGTCACATGTTGAAATTCAGCTCTTGTCAGATGTTGTTATAAATTGTTCTAATACATGCAAGTCTTTGTTCTGAAGATAGAACTAGCAGCCAAAGTTTAAATTACTGATACAGTGGAGACTGCTTGTGTTTCTCCTGAGTTCATTTTGGTTTTAAAACCAATCTTGCTTGTAGGCTATGAGAAAAAAGTGTGTTCATGTTGAATGCTCTAGATATGCCTGACATAATATGAGGTAAGGTTTTTGTCATTGTCATAATTTTTAAGTACATGACCACAGCAGCTCTTGCTTCTCTCTAGGCTCTTATTGCAGAGACTGTAGGCAGCTATGATACCATGGATCTCTTCAGGCACACAACTGAACTCAGTATGCATGTAAGTGTAATAGTTGTATTGTTCTGAAGTTTTTGTACATCCAGTCTCTCCACTTAGGAGATTATTTTTTTAAAATAGGCGTGTCTTGAGTTTTGAAACTGCTACAGTCATGTTTCAAATGAGATTGTATGGCTTCCATGTTGTTGCTGACTTATGCTGATATTGTATAGCAGGCAGTTACTTTATAAAAGTTTTTAGTCCCAAGGGTTCAAGAAATCAGCTCTTTAAGTCATGAATAAATATTCTCCATGTTCTACAGAATTGGACATAGATCAAAGGCATAAAATATTTCTGGAGAGAGCAAGGATACTGCCAGGACCCTGTGTTCCAAAAAAAAGTGGAGGACTTAGTCTTTCATAGCTTTTTTTTTTTTTGCCTATTGTGTGTACAGTCATGCAGCACATTATATGAGAATGTAAGTATTTGCTTTGCTCAGATGGCAAGTTAAAAGTATATGTGGAGGGATTCAATTTGGTGTGTTCTTCTGTTTAACACTGATGCAGATTTTTAGCCAAAACTCTGTCCTAAAACAAAGAATTAGTATTATTATAATCTGCAATTATTTTGCTGTATCTTGAGCGGGTTTAATGATTCCTGTTTTGGGGGGTGTCTCTTTGTTTCTTGAGACTGAGGGAGCAAAAGGCTATGCCCACTGGGTATGTTCAACGCTGCAGGATGAAGCCAACAGAAACACTGAACTGTATCTGTATAACATTGTTCAAATGAATGCTATACCAGCAGCCCAAGTGGTCTTGAGCAAATATACAGGTAGGTAATTTAAATACCTCTCTAACCTGTCACACCTAACATGCATTCAGAAGGAATAAATACACCTGCACTAGTTCTAAACAAGAGAGGTCTGGCTGAGGTGGTGAGAGGCTTTTTAGCTTAAACTAACTGAAACAGGGTAAGCAGACCACACAGCGATGAAATGGATGTGGGTTCTGTCTGCTTATTCCTTCTAGTTGTTTCAAATACCAACGAAAATAGGGACCAGAGCCTTGTCATGCTTCTCATAGGGTGTTTGCTCTCAGACTCCCTTTGCATGTGTCTGTATGTGCAGGTGAAGATAAGTGCCAGGTCCTCTGTGATGTGAAGCTTGGTGCACAGGATTGTTCCTGTGTGCTGTGTAACTCAATATTCTCAAGCATATGATTTTGGTAACCTTCAGCAGGTGATGGACTCTGGTTTTGTGCATGATTCCAAACCAGCCTCCCCACTGGATTTGTCTAGCCTGGAAAGCAGGTAGAGGAAATGCAGATTTTCATTAGTCTGCAAGTATTCCTGTAAAGAAATCATTTGAGTAATCTGTTGCTGACTTTTGAGAGCTAGAAAATATAGCTCACAGTAAATGAGACGTGAATGTGAGACTGTTATTTCTTTGTACCTTGTTCTTAAGGGGACTCTGGAGAGCCTTCCTTCCTCTTCTGGGGAGAAAAGTTACTAGTCTGAGATGAGTTGACAGCTGACAGATTTGTGCCTTAGCAATTACTTAAAAATTACTAATCTTGGAAGGGACCATAATGGTCATCTGGTCTTACCTCCCTGCTCGAGCAGGGATGTCCTACAGCACATTGTACAGAATTGTTTCAGAATGTATTAAGAATAAAACATAAGATTTTACTGGTATTTTACTAGAGTCAATGCAAGATGAATACTTTCCCATTTCATTTAAAAAAATCTGCCTGCTGAAAAACTTAAAATATATTGAGTGCATTATGCATTAGTGTTACATCATAACATTTTAAACATTTTTCAGCCACCCTGGTGTCATGTTTTGGGTCATCTGTCTCTTCTGTATTTGCCTGCAAGCCGGTCAAAATTTTTCTCATGACCAGCTGACAAAAGCATTTGGCAAAGTGTTCAGTGCATGTACTGTAGCTTCAATGTAGCAATGTTTTTGTAATGCTTTTTCACAGCTTACTGATCTTGTTTTCCTACATTGTCAATTCTGACTTTCTAGAAAGAAATCCAGATGATGCTTCTGCTTTCACAATGTTTGGGTTTTTGAATGAGTATCTGGATCTAAAACAGCAGGCAGCCTATGCCTATGAGAGGTAAACTGTACACCCTTGGAAAGCTCAGAGAAGCTCCTTTTCCATGAACCAGCTGAAAAACCTAAGGGTTTTTCTTTTCCTTAGATAAACTTTACTTTCTCTGTTCAACAGTATATTTGAACTAAGTGTTTTGTAGGGTGTGTGTGTGGAGGTTCCTATATAAAATTTGGAAAGGCAGAACACAGAAAAGTAATGTCCTAAGGCTTGTAAATCTTACCATTACATTAACTAATTCACTGGGTGTGATTTAAATGAAATTGAAGGAGAAATCAAGCTTGGTTTTAGCTTTATTCTCTATCCCACTCTAATTAGTGGAGGTGGTTGGCCTTTGGGTTTGTTTTGGGGTTTTTTTCTTCTGTCTTCTTTTCAAAGAGGGAAAGGTGGCAAATGAAACAGTATTTGGTTTGTTGATGCATTAAAACAGTAAAATAGGCTCTGTTTATGTTTAATTAGCATAGAAAAGCTTTTGTATAAAACAGTTATTCATTTTGCTCTGAAAACTGTGCTCAAAATATGCACCTTGTAGTCACATGATAAGTAACATTCATTGTGGTTAATTTTAGGGCAGCTTCACTGCTGAAAAACTCAGAGGATACTGAGAAATACAATACAGCAATGCAAAACTATGGCAGGTCACTCTGGTAAGTGTCTGTTGACTTTCTGAGCCCCTAACTTCAGCTTTGGAGGTAGTGAAAGCAGCAGTACAAAATATGGTGAGGCTTAAGGTGAAAGATGGTTGCTAAAAATCATCTATTAAACATTATTCCTATTTGGAAACAGGTTTGACTGAACTTTGTATTTGCCCCAGAAATGGGTAGTGTAATAAAAAAAAAATCATATTGTAAGGAATTGCTGTATGTCTTCACAGGCTGTAGTGTATCAGTGATTCCCTTATCCTTTGCTTGGTACTAACATGTCATAGTGTAGTCTGTTATATTGTCTGCACAATAAGCTGTGGGATTTTTTAAAATGATAAAATGTGTAATACGCTTACTCTGAATAAAATTGCTGCTTCGAGGTTTGTTCAAAAGCCGTTCTATCTAGCCTTTGAATTTATATTGACTTTCATAACCTGAAGCATGTGAGGCTGGGGTGTTGTATACTTGTGTGGTCTTTCTGCTGATAAATCTCTATACTGTAGTCCTACTCAGAATTCTAAGTTCCTTTCTGCTTTCTGGTTCTGAGGGAATGCAGGACTTAAGTATGTAGACTTTCAAATTTCTTATTGATATGAAATAGCTCAAGGTCTACTAATTAAATATTTGTCAGCTCCCTGGGGAAACCTCATATGTTATTGTATGTGACACTGAAACTTGTAACCTGTGACGAAGTGATAATTCATTAACTTCAGGGAAGGTTTTAGAACAAGCTCTTTAGACTCCTAAAGTCTCACATCCAAGCTGTATGTCTGTTAGTTCATATGTGCAACTTACACAAGAACAAATCTCTAGTAACTGATAAGTAGTTCTAATAAATACAATCCTCTATTATTCTTTTCATAGTGGTCTTAGAACAAGAATGCTGTAATCTTTCTGTGTGTGCATTTTCCTGTCTGTGTGCATGATTTGCTTTTTTCCAAACAAATTCTTGATTTGCATTTTGCATGTTTCTCCTTTGCTGTTTTCTCTCCCTGCACTGTGATGATCATTAAGTCATTTGCCTTATATACAGCTGTCATGGAGATATGGAGGACTTCTTCCTATCAGTTGTTCTTCATGCAACGGATAGCTCGAGAGGGTAACTGCTATACCAGGCAAAGGGTGGGGATTACTGCACATTCTTGTCCTAATACTGCTCTTTTCTAGGTGTCTGTTTAAAACTGCTATGGAATAGAGGGCACTGGTCCTCAAGGACAGTTTGTCTGAATTATAACAGCTGTTTCTGCATCCTTCCTACCAGTGACTGGGTGTTTTTTTTGCAGTGCTCTTGGGCGGTGTGATGAGGCCATTGAAGTTTACACATCAATACCCCTAACAGAGTTTGATGGCATTGTGGGGCTAGCATTAGCTTACTTCAAGAAAGGACTCTTAGAAGAAAGTATCAAAGGTAAAATTCAGAGCATTATGGAACACTTCTTTTGCGGGTAATCTTAACAAACTTTGTTGTCTAACCAACCTAGCTGACATTCAGTGTTTTGCTCTTTTGGTCCTATTGTGTAAGTATAAATGCCACAACTATTTAATACCTTGAGTACCATGTGCAGTTTTGGACACCACAATAAAATAAAGACATTAGGCTGTCCAAGAGCATCCAGAGGAGGGCTATAAAGATGGTGAAGGGTCTAGAGAGGAAGTCTTATGAGGAGCAGCTGAGGTCCCTTGATTTGTTTGGCCTGGAGGAAACTAAGAGGAGACTTCATTATGGTCTTCATCCTCACGAGGAAGTGAAGGGGCAAGTACTGATCTCTTTGTTTTCACGACCATTGACAGGACTCTAGGAAATGGCCTGAAGCTGAGTCAGGGAAGGTTTGGGTTGAATATCAGGAAAAGATTTTTCACCCAGAGAGTGGTTGAGTACTTCGACAGGTTCCCAAGGGAAGTCATCACAGAGCCAATGTTTTCTTCAGGTCAAGAACCTTTGGACAATGGTCTAGGCACATGATGTGATTCTTCAAGTGTCCTGCACAGTTGTACTTTGTGATGTGGATGGGTCCCTTCCAACTCAGCCTATTCTATAATTCTGTGAAAATCTATTAGTCCTAGTATTGCTCAAATGTAGTAAGGAAAAATAAATTTCTTCAAGTGTGGGATTCTTGTCCATTAAGCTGTTTTTCTCTGAGCCTCCCTTGTTCTCAAATTAAATTGTTTTTCTGGAAGAATCAATTGTAGTGTAGAGTAGAAAAGACAGAGGTGATGACATCAATATAAGCGTCTCAAAAGCAGGTGTCAAGAGGCTGGTGCTAGCCGCTTTGCAGTGGTGCCCATCAACAGGGCAAGGCATGGTGGACATCATCTAAAATACAGATTCCACCTCAACGTGAGGAAGAACTTCTTACACTGAGGATGGCTCTGAAACAGGCTACACAGTGAGGTTGTGGAGTTTCTCCCCTCTGGAGACATTCAAAACCCACCTGCAAGGTCCTGTGTCACCTTCTGTAGGTGGCCCTACTGTGGTAGAGGTGTTGATCTCTAGAGGTCCTTTCCAGCCCTAATTATTCAATGATTCTCTCATAGGAGATAATTGTGGTGTTGAAAGCACTTTAGCTTTAATGGTAAATATAATTGTACTGTCATGTTGCACACTTCTGAGATGTGGAACTTCATGAAAAGGTATATGCAACAATCAGTGTAGAAGTGCTCACAAAGGAACAGTCAGCCCAGTGTTTTAAATAATTTTATTTTGTATTTGGAATGAGTGTGCCCATCTGAACTACTGTTTCGTAAATGAGCTATCACAGGGTTCATTTTTACCATGTTCTAGCAGGAATTTTCTGAATGTCCCAATGCTGCTTTTCATTTCTGTTTCTACTTGCTATGTGTTAAACAACTCCCAGGCTCTAAAGAGTAAATCTGGTGTTTCCAAACATAGTTACTTCCAAAGTCTTAGTCAACTTACTTTTATCTTCTGCTTATGATTTGAGTTGGGAAAATACAGTGAACCTGAACCTAAAGTAGTCTCTCTGTTGTGATATCGTGCTATCCTAAAGGCTGTACAAATGTTGTGTTTTTTCTTCTCCCTCAATTAATTTTTACCAGCCTATGAAAAAGCGTTGTCTGTTGCTGAGTCTGAAAAAGATAAAGCACATATCCTGACTGCCTTGGCAATAATAGAATGTAAACTGAACAAAGTGGATGCTGCAAAGACACTACTGTTTAAATGGTGAGCAGAGGGAATAATCAGAATGTGATATTTTATTGTTTTTGTGGGAACTCAAGTGGATATTTTCTTTGTGTATTGCGGCATAGAAGTGGAAATGGATGCAGTCTAATTATTCATGTGATACATCTGGTTTTATGGTCTGTCGCTTCCACTTTCTTAAAGCAGTGTTGAGTAGAAGGGCTGAGCAGTTTGGATGTCCAACATCCTTGAAGTTTTAAAAACTTTATCTTTTAAGATAATAGTACTTTGTAGTTGTTGTAAGCACTATTTTTGCTCATTGTTTTTGCTCATTAGCTGTAAGAACTCTGAATGACCAGTGAAAATAGTTTAAGTAATCAAAAATCTCAGAAACTATTGTGTTCCCAGCAATGTAGCCCCAGGACAGCCCTGTACCTTTCCCATGAAAAGAAACAGATCTCTACTAGTTGTGCAATTAAGTGGTGAATGCCTGTTATTTTTCAAATCTGTGGAAGCCAAATCGCCTGTGCATCATTGTTAGCCTCCTAGCAGCTAGAAATAAAATTACCATCTCACCACCCAGGAGCAGCTCTCTGTCAGTAGAGAACTCTAGTAGTGGCAGTGCAGCGCCCATCAGCAGATTCCTGAAGTTACTAACACAGAGAAGAAGGTCCATTACCTTTCCTGGCCGTGGTTAGTTGGCTAGGAAACTGATATTTCCTACATCTTATAAATCACTGCAGGCCTCTAGTTTTGTCAAAAACACAAACAATGAGAGTTTCTAATGACATGATATGTTTGTGTTTGGAAAAAAAAAGGTAGTGAATGGCTTAGGAAAGAAACATCACAATGAATACATCTAGACTTGAATTGATAACAGTGCTACAAACAGATTTTGGTGGATTTTACTAATAGGAACAAAAATCATGCATTCTGGTGCAGTAGATAAATGTTGCTCTTGACTGGAATTTGTGCTAGATGACTTAAAGTGCCCAGGTAGGACCTTGAACATGAAGCTCCTTTTTTCTTTTCTCATAACCAGCTTAGCACAGAGATTCTTAACAGTGGGTATGTCTGGATAACTAGTATGATAGAATACCATTTCCTACTTGTCAAAGGGTCCTTTTGCTGGCTGTTCAAGTTCAATTAACAGCTTTTTTTTTTCTTGCTAGGGACTGAAAACAAAACATAGAATCAGAAGCTTAGGTTCTTGTCTTTTTTTGAAGGCAAAAGTAATCATTAAGAGCTTGATTTTGTGCCTGTAACCTGGCCTTCAAGGATATAGATTTAGCCTGATCCAGGATCCCACAGAGAGTATTGATTCTGTATACCTTTCATGATACATAGGTGCAAGAGGACTCAAAAGTAACGAGCACTCTCATGTTATCAGGAAGCTTAGTTTGTGCTCCAAAATGGTTGTCTCTTTCCCTCTCTTTGATTCAACAGCTCATTAAAGGAACCTAGTACGGAAAGTCTGAAGGCTTTGTGCACATTGGGACTGGTAAAGCAGGATGCAACACTTGCAACAGCAGCCCTAAAAGAATTACTGAAGCATGAAAAAGGGAATGATGGGATTTATGAGAGGTGTCTCATTGCATCTGCTGTTTATGCATTACAAGGTAGAAATGTGGCAATCCAGAGGGAAGTCTCCAAAGCAATACACAGGTATATAGTTTGTCTTGCTTTAAATTGCCGTGTAAATGTATTGCTTTGATTACATTGAAGAGTAAGCAAACCTATTTCTTTGAATTTGAATAAATTTGAATTTGAATAAAAATTCATTTTCAAAGATGAAGTCCTCACCTAAGGTTGTACCTTTAGCTGACAACTTTGCTTTCTTATTTATGGAATCAGATAGCAGAAGCTTCATAGCTCATTCAGTGTTTTCTGATTTTGATTGGGGGACTTTTCTGATAGGTAGGTTAGTTTACTCTTCTGTGAAAGCATTTTTCATCCTGTGTAGCATAACCTTCAGCCTAGAAAAGTCCCATGGGTTTTTATTTAATATTTAGCATCCTTTGAAGCTGTTTCTTCCATTAGCTAAGTGTCTGTGTTTAAATTTGATTTGATTAGCCTTAGCATTCTGAGCCTTTCAGGAAGGCACACATTATAGTCTCTCCAAGGGTTTTCAGAAACTATTTTCATGCAATTGTTTTTTTCCAACTACAACTAAAGTTTCTTGTTCTTCATGCTATGAAGACAAGACTTGTAGGCCTAAAGTTTTTTTTTCTTCCTATGAATATTTATATGTATGCTGTACATTTAATTTCTTTAGCTAGCAGTATAATTTCAATGTTGTGTTGTTTGTTTTTACCCATGTCTATCTTTTAATACACTGCATTGTATTCTTAATAGAAAAAGCTCTATTTGTATTTATAGCAAGTGCCTACTGCGTCCTGGAAGACCAGGTGCGTAACTAAACCAGAGAGTTTAATACCCTTTTCTTTCCCTAGTTACCCTGATAATCCTGCCCTTTGGTCTCTTCTGTCTCGACTAGTTCCACTGTATGCATCAAAAAAGCCTAAAGTAAGTAAATGTAATACACATGTGCTGTTTACATTCCAAGTAGTCTGTGTCGTTTCTTGACTGAAAAAACCCCACCCTTCAGTGTGTGGACTTGCCCCAGTAAAAGGAAAATGTATGGCTTACATTCAAAGCAGTGCACAGCTACATACTGAATTTATATACCATTATTTGGATCTTCCATGAGGTAACCATTCTTGAAGTAAACTTAGAGGAGTGATCTACTAGAATTATGCTAACAATAAAAGGCTATACTATGTATAATTATGTATAATTTCTTCCATTTAGTTTTATATAGATGTATATATTTAAATAAATATTTATATTGAGATTTACCTATCTTTAATGTGGTTAATGTAGTCATCTTCACTTTTCACATTAGGCAATGTTTCCTTGCCACTTTTCTGCTTATTATTAGTTTTCCTTCAAATAAATGCTCCTTGTCTTAATTTATGCTAATTATATAAACAGAAATAGCACCTGAAAAGAAACCCTTTTCCATATGGGGCTGAAATTAGAAACCAATCATATGGATAAACTCTAGTCTAGAATGTCTCTTGCTAATTTTTTAATAAAAAGATCATACCATAAGCAAGGACGTTGACTCATTGTGCAAATTTTGTACTTGTGAATAGCAAAGATAAAATTATTTTGGCATTGTATTTTGCATAAAATTAATTAGCTGTGTAATTAAATCAATTGTTTGTTTTTTTTAATCTTGCAGGGAGGAGCTGTGGCAGGAAGTGTTGCACATACACTTGATGTAAACTGTGGAAAGGTTTGACTATCTTAAAATGCAGATTTTGTAATTCCATCAACAGTCCTAAAATTAATTCTGTCTGATCACTTACACTCTTGTGTTCTTTTTATAGGAAGTCCTGCTGAATATCGCAGTTAATCAGTTGGTAGCAGGATGTCACATGTTAGAAGATAAGAAAAACAATCCTCTGAAAAATATTCAGAAGGCCATCCATGTCTGTCCAGGTTACTCCTGTTCTCAAACACAGTAGTGATTGTTTGTCTTTTTATCCATCAGAAGCAAAAATTACTGGATTAAAGTAAAATCTGCTTTTGTTGTGTTGATTTGTTGTTTAGGGTTATCCATGTGTCTTTTGGGGAAGATGCTTAGAGTGGAAATTATCACTTTTCTTCCAGAAAAGTGGAAGGGAATTATGCCAGACAATAAGAAAAATATCACTGAGTTTTAAGGCTTGTTCTAAACCATGAGTAATTTCTTAATCACTCAACAGGAAAAGACTTAAGTATTATTTAGTATACTAGACAAATTGAAAAACATATGTTCCTCAGTATGCAGCGCCAGACAGAAGAGAATTATTCATCTCCCTTGAGATTTTTTTATTAGAAAAGTTCTGTTAAAATGTGTGGTTTATGAACTACAGAGAACTCTATGGTTATATTACTAAATAGTCTTCTTCCTATAGCATATGAAGTGCAAGACTGGTGGGGTTTTTAGTTGCTAATTTGTACTTTATAGCGAAATACTAAAACATTGCTTCTTCTAGAGTAATTTTGTTCTGATGCACAGGGCTGGCTTGCAAGTTCAAAATGTCAATTACTTTCCTACAGGAAATATGAGTGTATGACTGCTGTTTAAAAGCAGTACACTTTACATTTTACTTTGTTAGATCTTCAAGCTTTGCTTCATTTTGCCAGCAAAAATAATTATTTTATGGATGAAAATTTAAATAAATAAAATCTTTAACTGAGCTCTGTCCAATTCAGGACAGAGATTGCTCTTACAGTAGTAGGTGTTCTTCACAGGGCTATTTAAAGGTGAAGCTGACACAGGAATTAGCTGGGAGTGGAAGTAGGCACCTATTGCTATAACTTTCATGCTGGTGGGCAGAACAGACTGAGTCTGCCACTTTGTGTTTTGCAACAACTCTTCAGTGAAAGCCAAGATTAATCTGTGTAGTGAAAAATAAATTGGCAGCTTCAGGTTAGCACACTGAAGCTATCTGTGAAAAATACATTAGCTGGCTTTAAGAACAGCATCTTCCTTTTATAATCTGATGTGTCTTACTAGTTAGAAGCAAGTAGTTATCACCTTCCTTGGTTTAAACTCAATTACTTCTCTTATTTTTGCTATCTTATTTACAGTGTATGGTTCCATTGATAGGTATGCTTTTATGCTTTATCTGATAAATCCCATTCTAAGTGAACTACCAGCATGTTTAGAATGGGCATGAGTTCCCTTTTACCATTCTTTTCTAGATAATCCTGTTGCTTGGGCAGTGCTAATGGCAGCCTGTCATGCTGAAAACACTGTTGTCTGTCTAAACAACACTGAACCGAAACGAACAGGCCTAGAGATGACACTTGTGTCTACAGTTTCAGCCAAAAGTAAGCTATATGAGTTTCCTGTTTAAAAAAAGCAAAATAAAGTTGAAATTATCTAAGCTTGCAATGCTGTTCTGAACTTGCAAATCGGCTGAGGAGTACTCAATAGTGGTAATTAGACAATAGCTGTAATTGTATTTTACACAAAAAACCCATTAAATTCTGATATATAGATGGGTTTAGATATTTAATGGCAGCTTGCTTTCCCCTCCAAAGCTTCAAATGGTTTTGTGAAATAGTATTTCTGAACTCTGATGCCTACACTCATGAAGGTTGTGGATGTATTACATTGCAGCAGCAGTACTTTACAGGAAAAGGCTAAAGTAATTTTGAGTTCTGTAACTCTTCCAATAGGTGCTCATTCTTGCTCAATGCCGTAGTGTTTTGAAAACTGGAATTAAAATTCCATGTTAGATTGATCTCAAACCATTAACTCAAATGGTATATGCTTATTTCCCCTCTTGCTTTTGATTTTGCCATCTTTCAATGTTCCTACTGATGAAGGGAGCCATGTCACATTAAAACTCATAAAAATTCTCCCTTACCAGATCTAGAGCCTGTGACCATGGTATTGTACTACAGCATAAATACTAATCTGTTTAAGTGTGTTGTCTGTCTTTACAGCTGGAGAAAGTCATCTTCCACATAATTATGTCCGTACTCTTGAAGACTGGTGTCTGTGTCAAGCTATTACCAGTCTAGGGGAGACTGGTAAACTGTCAGAAGCTGAAGCTCTTTGTAACAAGGTATGATGGGGTCACACTGGCAGATTGTGGTAGAATTGACAGAAGCCATTATTTCTGTGCATTATGCAGTAAGCTAATGTTTGAATTAGCAACTGTCTGTTCCATCAGAGATACAAAATATAATAGTTCACAGAATCACTGAGTATTCTGAGTTGAAAGGGACCCACAAAGATCAGATCATCAAGTTCAGCTCCAAAGTGAATGGCCTGTATGGGGATCAAACCTTCAATTCTGGCGGTATTAACAGCATGCTCTGACCAACTTAACTGATGGTTGGCATATCCTCCCCTCCCCAATATATTGTTTGCAGCACCAGAACTATGTTAATAGTTGAAACAACTAGTGTATGTGTCATGATAAAGCTGAAGTCTGTTCTTCCTGCCTAGAATTAAGCAAAACATTACCAGAATTCAGGGCAAAGAAATCAGGATAGGAGACATGCTTGGGACTTCGATTTCTTCTGGGTTGTATTGGTACTTTGTTTCAGAGCTCCAAGTGGATGCTACAAATTCAATTTTAGAAAAGAGCGGTCTTGCTGCAACACAGCTATGGAAGGGAGCTGGGCTGTTACCAGCATTCGGTAGGGTGTTCATAAGCAGAAGACTTGGCAAAAGATAAACAAAAAAGCACACATCCATTATTTTCATTAAGGAAAATTACTAATCACATGCAAATGTGATCCTTGTTTTTGGTATATTTCATTAAAGTGGATGGAATTAAAAAAAAAAAGCCACCAACAGCAAACAACAAAAAACCTAAACCACATAAGCAGATTGATTGAACAGGCTGGTTTTCAGCACGAAGTACTTTCTTTCCTCTTTATTTGCTTGGTGAGGTGTTTTCCTTTTCTGGCCAACTTGTCTACTGACCTGCCTTATATTAACAATCATCAGAGATTTTGAGACATACAAGATCTGTCCTTCCCTCAGTTTGGCAGGGGGGAAGGTTGTGGTGGATTTTGCTTGTATTATGCTGATTTTTGTTTAATTAAATAGCCTGGGGAGAGGACAATCAGGGTCTGCAATTAGTGTAGATAAAAGTATATAAAAGGATACTAGGATATTCCCTAGTACCACAAGCCTTCAGTGGTAGTTTCAGACCCTGAAATCCTCAGAAAGCAGTGTAACTGGGAGTGGAGAGTCAGACACTGCTGTCAATCAGTTGTGAAGGATTCACAGGCAACATACTTTGTTAAAAAACATGTGAAAAATACAAATATTGTTTGTTAACACAAATCTGGTTTGAGTTATAATTCTTGGAATATTGAGATTTCAGCACAGAAAATAACATGCAGAGAGGTTTGCGAAAACTTCACGTTTCACCTGAGCAGAGTAAAGCAACACATAGCTAGTTTTCTGTCTTTTCTTTTTTGTGTTGGTTCAAAGAAATACTCTATGGATGCCTGCTGTTTCTGAACAGAAAATGTTTAGTAAAGTCCTTCTGTTCCAGTGAAAATAAAGTGTCTTGTTTGGGAGAACTAAAATTTCTTGAAGCATAATCAGGGTCCTTTTTAGCCCCAAGACAGGTTTTTGCCTATGTTAATAAGCCCAAAATTTTTAATAATTGTCAAACCAAGTGACAGCTATCTTTCAGAAACCAGTAAGAGTAGGAAATATAAAATGTAAATGTAAAATGTAAAATTAAGCTTAGACTTCAAATGTATTTTGAGGACAGTAAAAATATTTTATGTTTTTATGGTTCAGTCCTGAAATACTCCTTTGTGCAGTGGAGGAGAAAAATGCTGTGTTTCAAGCACCCTGAGAAGGCTTTCAATGTTGTTTTCTATAAAGAGCAGAATGGAAAATCTAAGTGTCCTTGATATTGGAGAATGATAATTCTGATTGGTTTGGTTTTAGGGTTTAAAAAGCTGCCCTGAGCACCCAGCTCTGTTTTTGCTTTTGAGACAAATTCAGTGTAAGCAGCTGTTGCAGTCTCACAAAGAACTTCCAGACAACATCCTGGAGGAACTTCGCAAGACAGTCATGTCCAGTTCATCCTCAGCTGCAGCCTGGCAAGTAAGTGTCAATCCTTTCCCCGACTGGTGTGCCACTCTCACACCTGCTGTAAGGGAGTGAGCATTCGTTTCACTGCTTGATTCTACTTGTCTGCTGACAGTCAGTGACAGAAAAAACAGCTTAAATTCTATTTGTTCCAAAGTTGAAATATCATGTTAACCTCTATAAAAATTGGGATATTAAGGACTGCTAGTAAGACCAAGCAGACATGGAGGCAGGAGAAAAAAGTTCGAGATAAATGTCTTTAGGTATCTGTGATTTGACATGCGAGCAGAAACCAATGAAGTACTTCATAACTTCATAAAAATAAATGGAGGTAAAGGGTTTCCTGTTGTAGTAATACACAATTTCTTATTTAAGGGTCTGAAAAGCTGAATATCTCTTTCTCCATAATGTCCTGACTTCAGGTGTCACTGTACTTTTGAGTAATTTGACTGCAGAGAATCACTCCCAGTAACATTGTTCACTAATTCCCTTCCATGGTATGATGAGTAATCATTTTTAGTTGACACAAAAGTGCTAAATCTCTCTTCATATGCTGCTTCTGTGAGTCAGTCTGAGAAGTCTCACACATACCATAAGATCCTTTTGGTGATGCAACACCAAATATGTTCATTTTCTAACAGCTGCTTTTTTTACAGTTATTATCTGTCTTTACCAATGTAAGTAGCACACTGTTTAAAAAACTTACATGAACTTTTAGAGTCCTTTATGTAGCTGAAGGATTTATGATGCTCCTCTGCATGTTGATAAAATAAAACCCTGCTTGTGGTAAGATTCATTGGAGTTGTTTTCACTCTTAGAAGATCAGTGCAAGGCTGCTTTACAGATCATGATGTTGCTTCTTAGAAGGCTGCAGATGCCCTTCTCTACAGAAACACCAGGAGCATTATTTCTGGGGAAAATGCTTTTTTGATGCATTTTTCTGTGATTTGTGAGACTTCATCTTTCAGAATATAGAACTCATTCAGGTTGAATTTGCAAAATAGGAAACATGCAAGATTCTATAGTGTCCTCTTTTTTAATAACATTTTTTAAGTTAAGTTAGGGTTTGTGTACATTCTTTAAGTGTCCCTTGCATAGCCAAGTCATCTTCCTTACAAGCACAGAGAATAAGTGAAATGAGTGCATGTAATGTGGGGAGTGGGAGGGGATGATTTGTTTTAGTCTTTTTAATCCAGGCCACAGGTAAGATACCTGTGAGGAAGATCTTTTTAGTCTTCAAGGAAGTATTTCTCAGGGCTTAGATAGCATTCTGAAAAACTTGGCTGCTACATTTGCTTCTAGTGGATTAATGTATGTTTTTATGTTTTCTTTCTCTGGACTTCCTGTGAGTTTGATTTATCCATTGTGATGCCTTACAGTTTTACTACATTAGAGGGACCATTAACTTTTCTTTCTGATTAAGTTTTTGGCTTTTGTCTAAATTGTTATGTGGGATTTAAGGGTGCCACTGAACTTCTGCTCTGATGACTGTTCTACTTTTTGTGCTGTGACTTGTCAGGAAAATAGAGAAAAGTAGATCTGGCAAAGCTGCCTTTGTGCCTTTGCAGGGGTTCTCTTCTTTACTTCTAGGGTGCTAGACATCTTCAGCTGCAAAGAGCTGAGGCTGAGGGAAGCTTTTTTCCCTTCACATGGATGAATGTTTTACTCTAAAAAGCGGGCCTGCAGCCTGATGTCAGGAATGCAATGTCTCACTAGTGCTAATTAATACTTTCCAGTATGTTGCTCTTTGTAATTGGGAGTAACTTCTATGACCAGAAAGCATTAATAATTTTTGCCTCCTCTGACACCCTGCAGTCCTTAGCTAGGAAAAGTCTAGAGGCCTTTGCTCAAAAGCAAAGGAATTACTTTGTTTACTTGGTGATCCAGCAAACAATATTTCTAAATATGGCTTGCACATCTTCATGCATATCATGTACATGACAAGGATTTGCAAATATGGCTGCATCTGCTTCAAAAAATGTGTGATGACTACAGAATTAAAGACAGAGAAGCTAGAATCCTTTTCCTTCTCTTCATGAGGAAATCCAGGACATCTTGTGCTGGCAGAGCTGGCAGCAGCTGAGACAACCTATCAAAAAAAGTCTGTGAGTAGGCTAGCGAACTCTCAAAATGATTTACTGTGGTGAGTTGTACTGCCAGCTCTGCAGCAGACTAATTTTTCTGCAGGGCAATGCACAGTGTGTGGTTGGAATGAGGACTGGGTGCATGGTGTCAGCTAATATTATGCTGTGATACTCTCATAAATTGGACTAAATGGTATTACCTAATGGATGTGTGTTTTGGTGGCTCCATAACTGATTTTGTTGGATGTTTATTTTCAGTGGCTGGCGAAAATATATCAGTCTCAGAGAATGATGACTGGAGCAGAGATGTGTTACAGAAAGAGTCTGCAGTTGGCATCACAGCAGGGCAGCTGGAACGGAAAGTTATCCAGTCTGCTCAGGCTAGCTATGCTCGCACTGGAAATCTGCATGGTAGGATAACCAGCATAACATTTCTGCATGATTTCACAGAAGATGGTGGAATAGAAGGTTTCTGTAATCATTAAATTATAATTTATTTATTCATTAAACCCCTGTTATGTTTTATGAATGACAGCTAGGGAATAAAATGAGACATCAAGGGGCAGTGGAGTATTTGTAGAACATGTCTTTGTAAGACAGGTTGCAAAACAATAATCACATAGAGCCACTTTGTGCCTAAGAGGCTCACTTGCTCAGTGAGGCTTGTCCATAACAGTTTTAGTTTGATCACCAAATTGGCCTACTCCTCAAATGTCTGTCTTGTTCAGACAACTGCCTCAACAGATGCTTTTTGTTCATTGGTGCCTGGAGAAGTCAGTCAGTCATGTTTCAAATATTTTTATGCTGTATGGTGATTTCCAGATATGATGCCTTGCACTGAAGCCTAAGAACAATCTAAGGGAATTGTATCTTGTGGAATAAAGAAAATTACTCATTCCTTGCACTTGGGGGGCAAGGTAAACATATCTCAGGATCTTGGCAAGTATTTATTATCTTCAAGCAGTGTCACTCTAGAAACTTGAAGTGCACTACCAGAATTTAAATTCTGCTGTAAAATGTAGATACTGCTGTGATCTTGGCAAATGCTTTTTCACAAATTATTGAATGACCCAGTGGTAATCAAAATCAGGCAAAGCAATCCTCATATATCCTGAGATCTTGTGTAAGAAAAGAGAGTCAGATTAACTGAGGATAAAGCTGCAAAACTCTTCTCCATTTTGGAGAAGAGAGTTGTCCTCCAAAGTCAGAATTTGTCAAGTGACAATATTTTTCCTGCTGTAATTCTGTCAGTTTTTACTGGTCTGCTTTGTTTCTTTTTGCTCCTAAATGCTTTCAGAGGTCCCAAGTTGCTGCCTAAATTGATTAATACTATTTCTTCAAGGGCTGCCCTGAATTGCCTAAGAATAAACAAGACTTTATTTAAAGATGAGATTAGTATGAATTTGGTTATCTCATCTCAACTTTTTAAGCGAGCAGAGAAGCTGTAGGTGGATTTTTTTTTTTGGCATTTCTGCACTGGTTTAATGAAATGTATAAAAGCCTGGTGAAAAACTTGCCTAGGTCCAAGAAAGGTCTGTATTTGAAAATTGCTTGTCTCCCAGTTTTCTTCCAAGTAAAGATTTGGTCACCCTTTCAAGTACACTGATTTGAATGCTATCCAGACACAATGGGGATAATAAGGTTTTTCTAAAGCCAGTTTTTCTTCCTTTACTTTGCTTATATACTTAAGATATATGCCTTTGCTCAATAGTTGCTCTGTGAGGTGATTACAGTCTAGAAGTAGGTTTTGACTTCTGATAAACAATTGTGTCACTTCTGGGGATAAATTTTACATTCTTGAATAGTTTTATATGTGGTATGAAGATTTGCAAGGGTTTCTGAAGCACTAGTAAAATTTGTATGAAAAAACAAAAAGAAACAAATTCCCCGTGCGCACAAATTAGCACGGGGGAATACTGGCAAGGCTGATCCTAAATAAGTTAATATGACTTTTGTAGGCACTTCTAACCACTGTTAGTCTGGAGGTTTTTTTAAACAAGTGTCTTTCTAACCTGCCAAACCTTCTCAGAACAGCTTGAATAAAACCTGCTTTCTAGAGAGATGCAAATATACTACAATAAAGTAATTTTTCCACTGATTTTTCTTCTTTTTATTTTTTAAAATTTCTTTTTTTATTACTCTCTCTTTATTTTTTTCTTAACTTTTATAATAGGCTAATGTCTCAAATGAACACTGGCCATCCTTGGTTCAGGAGGCAACAACTGAAGCTTTGAAACTTTCACCTTCCCCTTTGGCAGTTCTGCTTCAAGCCCTGCTACAATATAATCGCAAAATGGGAGCAAGGTATGCATGATCTGTTAAGTTGTCAGTGGAATACCATGTCTAAAAATACAAGTGGTCATTATCTGCAGTTCTAAGTTCAAGAACTTAAACAAACTTGAAAGTGGAAATTAATTCTTGAAATAGTGTGGCAAATAAAAGGGAGAGGGGAGAAAGGGTTATGATGTGGGGAGCAACCAAATCTTCCATTATTTGTGAAAAAAAAAAAAGCTGATGGAGCACCACTGAATGAATATGACATCCATACATGTAGTTGCCAGTTTTTACCAGATTTCTAATGGCGCTGTGAATTTGAAAATTTAGGTGTTTTTGTTGTTGTTGTTGGAAGGTAGTATCAGCCAAACAGAATTTTACACTTTGTGTCTAAAATAGTCACTTTGTCTCTATTCCAATTACCTTCTCTTCTGCACTTTCATATCTTGTCTCTGTTTGCAGGAACTGCAATAAGGACTTTCCTGTATATTGCTTCTGGCCATTGTTGCTTGCTCTGTTGTGTTACATGGGGCCTGTTCAGTAGAATTTGATTTGGATTGTTTTGATTATGTTTCCAGGGAAACTCGGCGAATGTTGGAGAGAATTGTTTACCAACCAGCCAATCCAGAAACCATAGTGTCAGTGGCACGCTGGTACCTCCTGCAACATCTGTATGCCAAAGATGATTGTGAATTAATAGATGTAAGACTATCCACCTTATACAGAACTTCTGTCTATTTACGTTTGGTATTATACTTGCAGCTGGGAAGTGAGGTAGAAGAAGGCTAGGAAGATGTTGTTCTAGAGGTGCAAATGTACTACAGTTTTTGAAATCAACACCAGTTTGTTTGAATATCTTCCATTCCTCCATGCAGTAATGAAAAATAAATAGTAAAGTCTCCAGCCCAAACTTGGAACAGTTTTAATGGGGATTCTTCAGTAGACATGAGGACCATTTAATTAAAATTTTAGCAATAAAAATGTTAATTCCCTCTAGCCTGGCTGGAACATGTCATGTCCCTGGCCCAAAAGAACTGAGCAGTAGAATCTCTGTACTCTCTCTCTTAAAGGCTTGTGTGTAATGGTAGATTATTTTCAGTACATAGTAGATGCTGCATTAGTTTCTGGTGGCAGTACTTCACTAATGTATTTGATCAAACTCACAAATCCATGCAGCTCTTTGATGTAGTGCAAGTGGGGTGTCATTCATTTTGGCTTATAATGAGAACTACTTTTCTCATCAAAATCTGAATGCACTCTGAATGACTCAATGAAGACTGGTGATGAAGTCTTTTGCCCATATTATCAGCTGTTCCCTGGTGAAATGTTGAATCCAATACAAAGTAGATCTGGAGGTACATATAAAAAGGTGTAGACAAATATCCATACACAGACATGCATAGACTCAGATTAAAAAAGCTAGATTTAATGAGTTCAGAAGATCCTGGTGTGATCTCCTTGCACTTGCTTCTGCAGAGTCCCTGCTGATGAGATGATAGTCCCTGCTGATGAGATTATAATAATGGCTGGAGATTTGCTTGGTTCAGCTTAATGGTTTTCCTTTTCAGTATGTTTAATGTCATTGGGTTACAAGAGATGTGCCAGAAGCTTATGAACATTAGGTTACTGTGGGACCTCCTTTTAAGGTCCCTAAGAGAAAAGATCCAAATATGATGTGTGGAAAATAAATCAGGGAAGTGTGAATTTAACTGGGGGAGGAAAAAGGATGTGGCAGTTTTTTTAAAGCAGAGAACACTTGAGTTTGGCAAATGGAGATTTATATAAAGGTAAGATTTATACAAAGCAGGGGACTAGTGTGTGTCAGCAGGAAAATAGGTCTGCTTGTTTAATTGCCAGCAGGTAACTACTTGTCAAAGTAATCAGTGATGCTTTTACAGAGCACTGGAAGTGATTACAGTCACTGTAGCGCAGAGTTTGGATCTTTTAAGCAAGTTGATGTATAATGTCGAGTACTTCCTATCTGGGGATTATGGGTTAGATGATCTTTTAGCGAAACTGTCTAACAGGAATTTAAAAAGTGCATTTCAGATTGCCATTAAGACAATAACAGAAAAATCTTAAATTCTCAAGTTGTTCTTTATTTTTCTCTGCAGGTGCTTATAGAAAATGCCAAAGCTAATGGAGATGTTAGAGCTCTGGAACTAAATGAGAAATTATCATCAAGTGCCTAGAATGGACTATCTGAAGCAAAACACTCTTATGTTCATCCAGTTGAATTAGTTCACCTTCCACAAGTGTATAGAGTTTGGGCTGTTTTGTTTATTGTGTCTGATTTATTTTTTTCTGTTTCATCAACTGCAGCCTTGTCTTTAGTTTTGCTTTTTCTTGAAAAAAAGTAGGTTATTTTCATGTTGAGTTACACACATAAAATCACATTTATTTGGAAAAGAAAATCCTGAAATTTGCTTTTGTTTGCTTCCCCCACTTAAACTTAGTTGCTATTCACAATAGAGTATTTCCCCCCTAACTTATGTAGCAAACAGAATTCCCCTTTATCTACTCATGCGTCTCTGTCAGGTCTGAGGGTTCTTGGGCTCTGATAACTCCTGGACAGCAGCTGGGGCCCCCTTCTGGGAGTGCTCGGTCACCAGAACTGATGCCTTGTGAAAGCTGACCTAGAACAGAGACTAGATGGAGTTAAAGAATAAAGTAGGTATTTATTGGAAGGGCTCCGTGGATACACCTTGGGCAGTACAAGAGCCCAGCCAGGGCTACACCCCAGATGAACCCAAAATGGTTCATGACTGATGGATGACTGATCACAAGGTCTCTCACTTTTATAAGTTCTGGTCCATTACCATATTGGAGTTAATTGTCCATTTACAGCTTTAGATCATGAAGCCCCATCCTTCTTGTTTTTCACTCTTCAGGCCACATTTATGCTCTTGGGCCTGAGATTTGGGTGGTTGTCCTTGGTCCCAGGCTAGGAAAGGAATTGTTTTGTCTACCTACTCTGTGAGGACTAGGTAGACAAGAGCTTACCATCCTTAATTATGAAGCTCAGACTAGACACTAAAGCAGCAGAGAATCCGAAAAATATAAAAGTTAAAACCTGAGGCATCATTTGGATGCACACAGAAGTACAATTATTAACGCCACTGCCAGGTTTTCTTGGCACAGAGTCTTAAGAGCTGGGTAGCAGACAGCTTCCGTCATCTTTTGGTAACTCAGCAGCTGATTACTTAATTATGATAGCTGTTCTTCAGATATGTTATTTTACTTTTATGTACATGAAAATATAAAATAAATAAAGCAATGACTCTGACCTGTGAAAGCTACCATGAGGATGTTCACTCTGTTGACAGGAGTCATGATAGTGGTCAGTTTTTTTGTTAAAATCTTCTTAAAATTTCTGTCCAGCAGAGTTTTACAATGGCTTATACAATCCTATGTTATAGGCAGGAAAGGGCACTTCAAAAGTGTGCAATGGGACAGCATTGAACATTCACTTGCTTTTGGAACCAGTTGTTCTGGGCTTACAGAAAAGAGGGTGCTGAGCTGGAGTGCAAATCACACACACTAATCTCTGGAGAGTGTGCCACTCTCATTTTAACAGGAAAACTCAGCTCAGTGGGCTGGGGCTTCTAGTCTGTGGAGGGAAGATGAAACCTCTAAGTAGCAAGAATCTCCTTATCTTCCACACTTTCATTCTCTCATTTTTCCTTAAAATTATTTTCTTTAAATTTAGATTGATTATACTTCCCTTCACGGAGCTGCTGTCAAATAGCCTTGAACTATCAGTAACTGCAAATCTTAAATGGAAATGCTGCAAAAGCCAGACATGACTCTCAAGAGTAGCTGTAACTTTTTTTAGCTTGCTGCTATTAAAAACCTGGAGAAATTCTTGCAGCCTATGGTTTGTATCCTTGGCATATAGTCATGGTATGTGTGCCACCCACTCTAGTGGTGGAAAAGCTGTCAGCACCATCCTCTTGGCAGCACAGTAAGCAACTGCCTGCCTGCCCCTCTTAATCCTTCTGTGCGAGCGTTAGCCTAGACTTTGCTGGTACTGAGCCCTGGATGCCTTCTAGCATCTAGGAGAGCCAACAGGTGACAACAGCCCAGAGAGATGCCAGCTGAGTAATTGTCAACTGTGAACCTTCTGTATTAGGAAAAAAATGTTGTAGTATGGTGCTTTTCTGCTCAAAACACCATGAAATTGCTTTTACTGTCAACAGTGATGAGCTCCTTGAATAAGATAATAATACAGCCTGAAGTTGCATTCCATGCAATGTAGGAAAAAAACTCTGCAAATCTCTGTGAGTTGTGAAGTACTCAGTTAAAAGTGCTCAGGGAAGATGAGTTAAATTTAAGCTTTTGTAAAATTCAACAACATGAGGTAAAAGTCTTGCTCCCCTGATTTTTAAGCAATGTATGGCCTCTACAAAATTGCACATTGTAGCAAGTCTGCTGTAACACTGGCAAAGCTTGTAAATTCTTGCAACTTGAGGCAACCACGTCTTTTATGTAATGTAGAGCACAGCAAAATACAAAGCCATATATGCATCATTGATTTGGGTAATTGAGAATTGCTTATGGATTTCACTGCCTAGAAGTCAGTGTTCTTTGGCTGCTCTTGTTGTAAAGTGGGAAAAAAATAAACATTGCCAACTGTAAGTTATTATGTTGGTTTATGCTGAAGGCAGAATGGAATGAGATCTAATGAACTGAAGGTAGATCATTTCATGGCTGCAGATACTAGAGGTGGCTTTTTTAACCCCATGCTGATTCTCACTAGAGAGAGCACCTCTAAGACTTGGCCAGGCTTGCTCTTGGTGGTCACTCTTCTGGGAGGTCGCTTGGATAGTGGTTTTTTCATGTCTTTCTGATTTTTTCTTTTAAGTTTCATTTTGTGTTCTGTATTTGAGCAGCTCCATAGATTCATGAACAGGACTTGATTTACTGAAGTCCTGTAAAGAATAGGAACAATACATTAAATAGTGGTTGCTTTCAACACATGAAAAGTTGATTCTTTGTCTCTGCAAAGATTTCTGACCCATGTTTAATACAAATCATGTTAAATCCAATCTATCCCATTATTTAATTGTATCTTGGGAAAACACAATAGCAGCTTGGGTTGCAAGCTTCTTGTTACTGGGAGCTGTCTTCCAATACATTGGACAATACCAAGCATAATTGCAGCTGTGATTGACCTCAGGCATGTGACATGGCAGAAAGAAGACACTGTCTGTCTTTTAAAAAGGGCAGAATTGTTTGCTTTTAATGCTATTTTTCCATTGAGCATTGGGAGTTTCTTGTTGGTTTGTTTTTTTTCAACACCACAATCAAAAACTCTGGGTTTTCCATCAGATGCTGATACTGTGGCTCTGCAGTTTGCCTACCAGATAGCAGAGTTGGTGCTGTGGATTTCCCAAAGTTGTAGGAAGTATAAATAGACTTACTCCTCATCTGAGATGAACACTGTTCTGTTGTGCACTTCTAGGAGAATGGGAGCTCAGCTTCCCCAGCTGTTTGTGCTAAGTGTATAAAAAGGGAGAGATAGGAGTGTGCAGACACAGTTTTTCCAAAACAGATACAGAGCACCTGATACACATTTTTTGCACCACTGTACACTCAACTACTGTCAATAAAGACTGAAGAATTGTAGAATTGTAAAATGCTGTTACCTCACTGATTGCAGTAACTTTCAAATTACGGTGCAGAAGCTCTTTTTGTTTGTTCTGCATCTGACATAGGTGTTAATTGCTTAGGAAGTAAGAACTGAGCAGCCTTCTATTTTTTTCTTGAAGTGCATATTGTAACGTGGCTGCCAATGACATGTTTTTCTTTTTGGAACAGTTCTTTAATATGGATTCGTTTTGTCACTGCTGCAGTCAAAACAAACTGCTTCATAGTGCTTGCAATTTTACAGATTCCAGACACATCTCTGATTTCCAGAACCCCAGTCTGTGCTGCAGCACCAACAGCTGCTGAGACAGTCAAGAGGCTGCCTCTGTCCTCTTCAAGCTGCTCTGCATCTCTTCAGCAGCCTCCTTCTCCCCTGTTGCAGGGTCAGCCCTGCCAGAGGACTGTCAAGGGGAAGCAGTCCTTGGACTTGAGTTTGAACACAAGCATGGCCAAAGTTTGATATAAACAGAGCTCTTCTGTCCTCATTTTCCACAGGTTTATTTTCAACTTCCTTGAAGTAAAGAACTCTCTCAGTACCAAGATCTTTTATTCTGAAATTTCTTAGCCGTGACTTTCTTTGAGAGCTATCTTGTGCTCACTCAGAAGGTCTTGTAGACAGCTAAGCCTTATCTTGTCAAGCTGCATAAAGACCTTAAATAACAGAGAGCTTAGTTTACTACAGCCCTGGGGCAAGGCTTACTGGTGTGTTGCAGATGATGAAGGAATTGGAGGGAAAGTAAAGAGCTGGAGTACTTGATCACAAACATCCTGAAAGATGAGAAACCAGATGCTCAGGTTTTAGGTTTTAGGTTGAGAACATATAAAATGTGAAATACTCATGCAGTGATTTTCAGACTTCTGTTCCTTTGGAGAGAGGGCTGAGTGATTTTATATACATACATACATATATATATATATATATATATATATATATAAAACCTGCTACATCCACTGTCTTTCCACCATCAGCTGCAAATGGGAGAGTATTACAATGGAAAAGGTTTGAGTCACACAGAACAGATTACAGTGAGTGAAATCTTCCTGGAGCAGACCAGGTACTCGGGAGAAAGTCTTTGTAATTGCTGTGAACAGTCAGAATCATCTGGTGAAGCGCCTTATGCTTTGTGAGATACATCACTGTGACTGTCCCCATAAGAAGCAGCCACCATGTACCAGCAACGCCATCTGACTGCTTCCCTCTTCATTTACACAATGCATGCTCTATGTTAAGTAGCTGCAACTCATCCAGTTGTCTCTTTGTCCAGCCACTGTTGGTGGAGAATGGGGAATAAAGTATTGAAATAACATAAAACCATTAAATATGATCACAGCAGCAAGATCTATATGAGAGAATCACTGCTGCCTCCATATGAAGATTAGGGATCTTTCTAAAAAGAAATGGGTACTCTAAAAAAGCTGGAAAACAGATTATGACATTACCATTAAATGAAAGACCATTACCTTGAAACTTGTGCCAAAGTCATGCTGGCTGTTTGCAAAGACAGGTGGGCTAAACTGAGAGATGGCTGTGTGAGGGGTTTGAGAGAGAGACAGAGTCATTTCAATATCTTTTTGTCCTTGTTGGAAAGTGGTTTCTGCAGCAGCAGGTTACTGTAAAAATGTATTTTTAAAATAAATTGAATGAAATCCCATTCTCATATGATCTCTTCATTTTGCACTTCCTCAAGCTCTTTCCAGATCTGTCTTTTAAATTTGGCAGTTCTTGCATGCAGTTTTTTAAATCACTTTTCATCTGATACAACTTTTCATACTTCTGTGGTTTATCAATTTTTTAGTGTGGTTTATCAGGTTTTAGTGATGGACATACCAGCTTTTCTTCTGCTCTTTTTCTGCTCTTTCTTTTAAATACATAATACATGTTCATGAGCACGTTAACCTGTCTTCTGCTATCCATATGTTCAGTTGGTCTAGCTTTCTAATCCTATGTGGGATGGCACTCCATAAATTGCAAGGGGAGGTCTGGTATCCCAGAGAAAGTGTCAATTGTCTTTTCCATAATGAACCAAGTAAACCAGGAAATTTCTTTTCCTGTCTGGGCCAGGACAAATATGTTTTAAAATATTTATTTGTTTATTTATTTTTATTCAATCCTTTAAATCCAGTGATTTCATCTCATACTGTGCAGTGTGAGACTCTGAACATAACTAATCCTTTTCAAGTTGCTTTCATGAGCCCATCTCAAGCTTTCCAACCAAAGAAGTGCAATGCAGTGGTGTAAACCCAGCCCAGCTGCTGGCACAAATAATGAGGCTGAGCCCTGAAAGAGCTGTCTGTCTGGGGGATGGCAGGCTGTGCCCTCCCACTTCCGAGCCAGTACAGCTCTTGGGGGCAATTCCCCTTGCTGGTGTGCTCAACCCTGAGCTGCCCGGTTGCCCACCCCTTGGTCTTCAAGTTGCACCGCATCCTCTGGTCAGCTCCAAGTCTTGTCAGTAGGGTCTAACTCCTCAGACCTTCTTTAGCCCTTGCAACACAAGGGAGTCCTGTGGCTCTGCCTCGCAGGGAAGGTGTTTGCCAACCTGGCAGAATTGTTGTGTTGGAACAGGGCTCTGAGTTTACGGACACTGCTGCGGGGCACAGGTGGCTGATGGAGTGAGTCATTTCCGTGAATAACAGAGCTGCTGCCCCGCGCTCCCAGGATGGCTCCATCACCCGCAGACAGCCTGCCAGATCCAGCATCCCTCGGGATGGCATTCCCTCTCAGACGGATGTGCAGAGCAGTGTTGCTGAGGACAGCTGCCAGAGCAGGACCTGCTGCGCAGAGCTGCCCTCCTGGTGCAGGCTGAAGGTCATCACCTGCATTTCTCTGGCACCCCTGCTGAGGTTTCCTTCAGCTCCCAGGGCCTGAGCTGTGCTTCCACTGAAATGAAATGCAAAGGAGCACCATACATGCCTCTGTGTGCTTGTATGTGTACACACAATAATGCATTCCTTATTCAACTTATTTAAGAGGGGCTTTAAAATATTTAACTCCTGGTAATGCTGTGGTTTTTTGTCACAGCATTCTGTCTTAGGGAAGGGTAACCACATTTATTGGTGTGCTTTCTGCAAAATAATCACAAAATCTGTTAGTGGAGGAAGGAAATTCAAATTATACCTTTGAGAAACCAACTGAGAAGTCAAAAACATTTTTAATAACTTCCTGGCTGCACTAAGTGTTGGTTGCCTTGAGTACAAAAGATTATCATCAGGCAGAACAAATGGAGAATAAAGTCTAGGAGCATAATAGTTCTAAGCAATTTCTAAATCTAATTTTAATCTGCAGCCTTCACCCTGAGGCTAAGATACAGAAGAATCATGTTCTAATTGCTTTTGAATTCTGGAAGCAAAGGAAGAGAAACTAAAAGCTGTGAAGGAATTAATTGAAAGGCTTGGTTTTGTGCCAAGGACTAACTGCTGCTGTGAAACAGAAACATGCCATATTATTACTGACCACACGATGGTGAGTGCTTGTTTAAGTTTAAAACCTGGAACAGAAAATCTCTTCCTTTTCTAAGGAAGAAGAGATCATCATTCTATAATTCCTTGTCAATGATGGTGCTCTGTGGGGGCTCACCTTGGTACAGGGAAACACCATGGCTGAGTACATTTGGGTTACACAGATGTAAAGTGGTGCCATAATCCAGGATTACTTCCTTTCCCAGGATGTCCAGTGCTCTGTGTGATCTCTGTCTTTGGGAACAAAAACCCCACGGATGAGGATCAGGCCCTGACTTTGCTGTTGGCCCTGCTTGATCAAAGGGTTGAACCTTATCTTGCAGATTTCCCTTCCAAAATTAATGTCTGTATACTCTGATCATAATTCACCATTTTGCTGGCTGTGTCCTAAGGCACCTGGTTTTGTGTTGGATCTCAGGTTCGTGTGCATGGTTTGGTACCTCCTGGGATCAGGGTGAAGCAGTGTTGCTGCTCATTCCTGTCCCTGGCATGCCCGGAGGCCACCCCAGTGTAGTGGGATGTCTTCCTAGAGAGTCTCACCAGTGTCTCCTTTACCAAGCCAATGCCTGTGCGAGGCTTGGATTTCCTGAGAGCATGTCACTGGTGCTTCTGTGCACATCTGGTGAAAGGGTAGCTGATCCCTGAAGTCATTTAGAATACTTGTCAACCTAAAATTATGACTACGTCTGTGTCAGACCATGGAGTAGTCTTGAGTCACTTGAGTAAATTGTTTAAATTACTCCAAATGTCCTCAATAGCTCCTAGTGACTCCTAAATTTAATTTTTTCATTGGTCCTTATCTTGAAGGTTGCACCTACATGCCAAAATAAATTTCTGCAGTGTGTCTACTTTAGGGAAATTCCTGAGGGGTGAAAAGTGTGAATTTCACATTTGATTTAACTCTTTATGAAGAAACAACACCATCCCATTTAACATAGACTGTGTTGTTGGGCATCCGAGAATGCAGTTTGAAAATTATTTATAAATTTTCAAATTTATTATTTATAAATAATACTTCCAATAAAAATGTTTGGAAGTAAAACAAAAAGAGAATGCAGAGTTGCCTTTAGGGCAACAGTTGGACAGACATGTGAAAGCCCACACAAAGGCATTACAACAGGCAGAACCTGAAGACAGGCAAGTATCACAAAAATTTCAATGTCATTGTCTTAATTTCAAATATATGCTTGCTAGTAAGCAATAACCACTTACAATTTGTTTGGGCCTCAGTTAGGATGAAAAGCCTGCTTGCTTCCAGTCCTTCTAATATTTAATACCACTTTTTAAAATGATGTTTGAACTGAAGTGTTTGACATAAGAGAGCAAGTAATAACAGCTCTGCATCAGTCAAATGAAGTGATAATGACTGTAAGAGTGGGAAAAAAACCGTAACAGTAGCAAAATCTATCCAATTCATATGTTATTTCAGTTTGCTATAGGCGGTATCTTTTCAAAATCACAATCATAGAATGGTTTGGGTTGGAAGGGGTCTTAGAGATCATCTTGTTCCAAGCCCCCCGCCTTGTCCCGGGACACATTCCCCAGCCCAGCTTGCTCCAAGCCCTGTCCAGCCTGGTTTCAACAGCTCCAGGGAAGTGTTATCCACAGCTTCTCCAAGCAACCTCTGCTAGCACTTCACCACCCCCACAATAAACAATTTATTCCTAACACTTCATCTAAAGCTCTCTTTTACGTTCAAACAGTTCCCTTAGAGAAGCAGTTATTAAGTCAGTTTAACACTATTTGTCATTTGAGTCGTTCTAAGATTTAATATTTCAAGAACAAAAAATTGTTGCATTGGGTTTGGTATTTTTAGTTTAAACCAAGCGCCTGTGGTCAAAAAGTTTGTTTTCTGAGGCACTAATCTTTGTTCAAAAGAAAATAAAATGCTGCTGGGATGGTGTGTTTGTGATGCAGAGGAGATTCCCACCTCAGCAGGGGAAGGAGAGGTCCACAGGGCTGTTTGTTACATGAGTAGTGTCCAAAAACCTCTGTGTTCCCTCAGGCCTCTTGTGGTTACTACAAAAATTAACCCTGTCCTGACCAGGGACACTGGAATAAGGTGAATAAATTATGCATAAACTAGAATCAATGGTCAGTTTTGTTCAAAGGCTCAAAACAAAACCCTGGAAGCTGGCATCTGATTCTACTTCAATTTCTGTGCAAATGGAAAAGGAGAAAGAAGATATTTATACCTAAAAATTAGTTATTTGAGACTGTGTTTAGGTGACTTGGAAAGATTTGGTAAAGCCTGCCTTGAGGAGAAAGGGAGAACTGTGGATATAATTGACTTTTTATAAAGTTATATTAAAAATACTAAAAATTATTGTTATGTACAACACTAGTGGTTACCTTATGAGGTTACATGCCCTCTGTGGTTCAGATCAAATGAGCATAAGGGTCCCTTTGGGATGCAGATCCTGCCAGCCTCAGCCAAGATGCCGAGGAGGATGACGGTGGCTGGGCTCAATCTGGAGGGACACACTTGCCCATGACAAAATTATTATTATTATTATTATTATTATTATTATTATTATTATTATTATTATTATTATTATTATTATTATTATTATTATTATTATTATTATTATTGATGATGATGATTATGATGATGATGATGATGTAATTATTTTACTTTTTAAACTTTCTCCCTCTTCCATGGAGCTTACAACTATATATATACATAGCAGGAGTAAGGCCACAGATAGTTTACTGCACTCTTTGGCCCAGCAAAGACTTGAAATATTAATGAAGAGATACTCACAGATATTTAATAAGAGCATACTCCAGTAGTACTACAGTTAATTTTCATATGTGAAAATTGTTCTATCTAATATATCTGTTGAAATTACTCTAGGCAGCAGAATGCAGCTATTCTAACCTAACTGGCTCCAAGAAAGAAGAGATAAACATCCACTCTTCTGCAAAACATCAAATTTCTGAGCAAGGCTCAATTACCATGAAATCCTGCAATGTGTTTAAAATTCATCAGTATTTCAGTAAAAATATCACTTTGTACATTTTCAGCACAACTGCAGACTGCAGTCAAAGATGACTGGGTCCCTGACAGCTGCACATTAATTGAGGAGGTAACAGGGCTTTAAAACTGCTTTTGATTTGGCAAGTTATATGCAGAAGATCCAGTCTGTTCCAGAAGTTAAATTTTATTTCAGTTCTATAAAAAGAGCACATAAATCTGGTA